TGAGAAACGAAACAGAACAATACTCTTTGCAAACGCTTCCCTGTATATTAACTCATCACAAACAATGTAAAAAACTAATATTAAGTTAAATTCATGACTTTTTATTCATTATACATCAAAAACATACAATGGAAAACGGTACAAAAAACAATACCTAGAATGACAGCTTTATATGTAACAGCCATCATTTCGCACAGCAAGCGTTCTGAAACGTTTCACAGCTATTCGCTCACAAACGATACAGCACGGCAACTCACTGCCGAAGTACATTAAGGCAATCGCATTGTTTGTGTATTTCTAGCATTGAAATGTTTGTGGTTTTGTTTGGAGTACAAAACGATTGAAAAAAGTTTAAATAATCGTTTCTTTTCGTTCGCTGATCATAACAACCTTCGATTGGCGTCATATAGGAAAACATATACACATCTACAAATTTTTGGAGAAAGATTTAAAAAGTTTTTGACATGTCAATTTTTCCAATCGTTGATGCATCTACCTGTATTCTTCTACCATGGTTCAATAAGAAAGGCTGCTCAACTTCATGGCCCAAGGCCTATATAAGGTCGGCCAGGAAGCGAATTGGTAAAAAATACAGTTCTGTCTGTTAATTTTAATGTCAATTTTTGTTTTTTTCTAACCATCACGGCAAATTTGTTAATTGTCAACAAAGTAAAACAAAACCAGAAGGAAAACATCATGTATCAGAATAGGTGTGTCTGGTTACCCTAAAATTTGTAACAATTGTTACAAAATTTTACTGGAAGTCGTCTGTTAACCCGAAAGTTCTGCAAAAGAGAGCGGTTGGAGAGAGAAATTTTGACAGTTCTTTCAGTGAGAGTTTGCAAATTCTTGCTGGACAAATTTCTTCTTGCAATCTCTTGCAACTCTTCTTTTTCTCATTCATCGACATTCAATCAGATGTTTTCTATAGTTTATTTATTTCTTTTTGTGATTTTAATTTGAAAATATTGTTTTGGAATTAGCAAGACTAATTGTTTTTGGAGAACAACTTTACAAAATGTGAAAAAAATAAATGTTAATATGTAATAAGAAAATAAAAGACTATTTCCAACAATTTTAGACAAATGTCATTAGCAACAGGTTTAAAGGATTCCGCGGAACACATTAAATCTATCTTCCTTATATTGGTCATATTTCTATTTTATTGTCAATTTCCTTTTTATTTATAAAACTTGTGAAATTGGTGGTGGTCCCTTTCGTTTAATTCTTTTAATGGGGACAAATTGGTTTGTTTTGACAAATCAGCTGATTAGTTGGAAGCTTCTGCAGGAATACCGTCTGTTTACTTTTCGTAATTTCCTTGCAAAAGAGAGTAAAACTACCTTGCTCTCTCAGAAAGATGTTGCTGGACAATTCCTGCAGGAAAAGTAACCAGACACAACTAATGTCGACTTTTGTGTGGGAGGTACCAGAAGGAGTACACAGGAACCTACCATATTCACAACAGATTTGTATAATATTGGAATGTGTGAATTTTAGATTAAATAAGATGATAGTTATGCATTTTACGAGGGATAAAATTATTCAAAATTTTCACCCTTTGTGGGAGAGGTACTTGAGAGAGTAGACTGATATCGTCCTAGCACTGATATGGTTATTGGGATGCACTGAGTTTGAACTAAATTGGAAGATCTGTATTTGTTGTATTAGGTAAATTATTTTCTTTGAAATTGTTGACCTTTTGTGAGGTAGGTACCAGTAGGTTTGCACCAATACTGCTCATCTACGAACTCGATCTAAGTCTTCTAAAAATCGGGGGCTCCCTTCGAGAGTTATCGTGCGCATCAAATGGATGGACGGACAGATACCTCTAGATCGATTCCAAATGTCCTGAAACAGAGTTGGCCCCAAGAGACCTAGGGTCTCGAACCCTTGTTTCAATGAGACTCGTTTTGGCCATATCAAATGTTATACCTATTAATTATTCATACATGGTGATATAAAAAACTGCAACAAAGTCAAACGCCATAATTGTTACATATTTTTAAAAATTTATTGAATGAATGCCCGAATGTAGTTCTGCGGTATTTTGGCCCATTCCCGGCGAAGCGCTTGCTCGAGGTGATCGACACTTTGGTAAATTTTAGAGCCAACCTTGCTTTTCAAAATACTCCAGACATAATAGTCCAACAGATTAGTATCCGGAGATTTTGGTGACCATTGTCCGCTGGAAATGAAGCGATGAACCTCATTTTGTAACCATTCTTGGGTGGCGCGTGCTGAGTGCGATGGTGCTGAGTCCTGCTGGAATGTCCAAGGTCTGCGGCCAAAATGTTTGCGTATCCATGGCTTTAAAACGCCCTCCAGAATATTTCACCACATGAGCAACGTCGAAGTGTTCAGAGCATACAGAAAACGTTGCTTAAAATTCTACCTGGCAAACGTTACTCCATTCCGCCCTCGACACTTCATCCTTTGGAACCGAAAAAAATTTACCCCTTCTTAGAACGACCTTCTTTCTGTATATTTGGCAAATTCTCATTTGCAAATTCACAATTTTTCCTGTTTATTTATAATTTATATAGATTTGTCTTCAAATTCCTTTAATAATTTAAATTATTTCGAAATTTTTTGACAAGAACAAGGTAGATTTAACAGGTAACCGCATCGGCGAATTGCTACAACAAAGCAACTTTCGTGATACCCTTAAATGTCAAAATTGGCATCTAAGGCGAAAAACATAGATTCGCCATCGTTGCGGCAAATTTGATTCAACCAATCAGAAACGAGGTGTTTGTTTACATTTTATTTTGTGTGCCTCTCGTCGTAAACGAACGTTGCAATAAAAGTTTTTATTGTAAAACAAATAAGAGTAAAATAATTATTAATTGTAGTATTGCGATATTTTTTAAACCAAGAAACTTATAATGACTATATTTTACTGGTTTAAACCGAAAGTTTTCCAGAACTGCAAATGGCAAGAGTCGAATTCTTGCACTACTTCCCGTGATGTGCTTTGGGAATCTTTGATGTTGAGGCTAACTTAATTCTTAAAGCTGCACTCCATTCTAACCTCCTTCCTTCATTTTCTTTTAATTTTTTACTGGTTTCACTCTAAACTTGCTCTTAAATTATTTTAAATATTATAAAAAAGGTACTTTTAGGGAAGACAACATAAACAAATTTGTTGTTGCATTCATTAGGGCGAATTCTTCATTACAAAAATTTGTTTTGACATTTAATGGTGCCGTCAGCTGGGCTGATGCGATTACCTAGTACACCTACCTTGGCCATGACATTTAAATTTTGAGAGAAACATTCTTTTCGGCAACCTATTTCTGTTCAGCAAACAATTTATTTTCAACAAGCTGCTGGTACAGCGAGAGAAAGGGGTAGAGATTTCAGATTTCTTCCTTTGAGTATATTTCGTTGCTTAGGACTCGACATTGGCATTTAAATTCAAATACTGATGTTTGTAATATTTTCCGGTCATTTTTAGAATAAATGGAAAATAACTTTGACGTCTATTGTAGTTGTCAGGCGAATTCAAAATATGCTAACAGAAAATGTAGTTTTCAGCTGGGCTTACTTGTCTACCTTATAATTGGCCCATGCTCAACTTCAAAGAGATTTACAACTTCAAAGAAAATACAACTCTGTGCTGGAGTCTTTAGGTACAAGAACATAAGAAGCTTCAAGTCATAGCTAGGCATATTTTGTGACATTTCATAAAGGAATTACAGAGCCGTACTAAAATCTCGCCGTCGTTTTCCATTATAAGGGCGGAAATACATAAAGCGCATATTTGGCTGGCTCCTTCGTTTTAGGAGTTTTAGGTTGACTTAGTTCGATTTCGGTCCTAGACTCCTTGGTCATTTCCGAAGAAGCCAGCGAGATAAGCGCTTTATGTATTCACACCTTAATTTGCATTAATGTACCTACCCATGGCACCCCTTTTGGTTGACGTTCGGTATATTAATCTATATCTAAATATTATATATAGCCGTTTTCAACTGATTCCATTACCAACGAACTACAATTAATTGATATATATACATATATATATATAGGTTTTTAAAGAACAAAATATTGGCCCCGCCTACTTTTACTCCCACTATTTCGATTTATCTCGGTTTCAACATTATTACAACTTTCCTAAGTATTTATTTGGGGGCTGAGGAACTGACCACGCCTACTTTTTAATCTATTTATAAACCAATTGAATCCGTTGAGGCCGGCTGGAACTATTTGGATTTTTTTTTTAAATATACATTCTACCCCATTTTAGGTTTTTATGCCAAAAAAAGTGACCACGCCCAATTTTGCGCCCATTTTTTCGATTTATTGAAAATCCTAATATTTGCCAAAATCATGAAGATATCTGTTCCCTTAAAAGTAACCTTAAATCATAGGTAACATTATACGGGCACTATGTGCTATCGCCATTAATTACATTACGCCGCAGACAATCTTCGGGTTAGGATTTTTTTCGATTGGTAAATAAAAATCCCAAGAGGGGTTCCCGGATCTAAAGAGTCCATTTTATATAGCTTAACAATACACAAAGGGCCGCAAATATTTTGCCCTATACTCCACAAAAGTTACGAAAAAGTTTTAAATTTGATAAAGTCCTAGGGGTTACATGAAGAATCATTTGTACAAAATATGTGCCAGGTTGGTTTACATTGTGATATAGCCCCTTTCAAATTCCTCAATGTTGGTAATTTGAGATTTTAGAAAGAAAAACAAATTCTTTTAAATAATTATAAGTATAGAACCATGCTTCATTATAACTCTTATGTGAAGGTATCCGGTGGTTTAGCTATTACCAGGGTCTTGGTCACATTTTTTCAATTGATTTTGGCTTATTATTTGGCATCTACCTTTTTCGAGGGTTTTGATTATATTTTCGAATCGATTTGACTTAAAATGTGTGTTTAGGCTACTTTGGATCTATTATAAAGAGCAAAGGTATACTTTTTAATATATATGCTATATTATTTAGGTTTTTAACTCTCAAACTAAAACCTCTTACTGAATCAGGTTTTTTGAAAGACGTCTTTATTTCTATTTAATCGAGTCATCATTTATACTAAAAATTGTGCCACTTATGTGAGCCAGATTTGGGAATTATTATGCTTTAAAAACTATGCATTAAAGACTAAAACTACGGGCCGGCAAAGCGGACTGGGCCAGCTAGTTTCGTATAAATTTTCTTGCAAAATATGATATTTTTTGCCCAATATCAAAATTTTAATCAAAACGAACGCAACATGCAGTTAATACAATTTTGAAACTTCTGCGAAATCATTTGCTCGGTTCTAGAACCAGAATTTTTCGATATCATAAAGAAAAATAGTTTTTTTTTCTTCGACTACCCATACCGGACTATTGTATGCAGATTTTAAAAATCTGATAATTCCGTTTTGTAGCATTTATTTAATTACTTTGTAGACAATGGCATCAATTAAATATGGATACGATTTCTACGATTATTTGTTTTGGGATGCATGACTAAAGTATAAAAGTATAGATTTTTTATAGGTCAAAATTGCCTTTAATATTTTAAATTGATAGAATGTGTACTAACAAGCGGTTAACCAATTGTTAGTACACATTCTATAGTTATAGTTTGGACGTTTTTCTTCTATACTGTGTGCCGAATTTGAAATTATATGCGCAAGAAGCCAATTTTGTTATAACGAACTCAAAATTCAGCTACAAAAATATGTAAAACTAAAGCGTTAAATTGAAAAATGGTGTCTTCTCCATCACAATGCATTAAAAACAATACTTAAGATATCTTCTTGTGTGAATGCATAGGATTTAAGTTTCCTGCATACTGTATAAAGTTCGCAATTGCTCTTATTCTTTCACCATATAAGAAAAGACAAATAAAGTGATTGATTTGGTAAACGTTCGTTGGCATTTAAAATATGCACAACTTTTCTTTCGTCTTCCTTGTGGATTGTTCTTTGGAAAGGCACTTTTGTTCTTCTTTTAAAACGTTCAATTCAATTTTCTTTGCCTCTAGCTTCTGTTTTAGGCGGCAGCAAATTTCAGATTTCTCATCAGCGTTACGTTTCAAGGATTTTTCAACTTCTAATATTTCCCGTTCTTTACGACGAATATCATCTGCTACCTTTACACTTTCAACATTAAGAGATTTGGATGTATGGCTTTGTAATGATTTTTTTGGTATTGCTGATTTGCCTTTTGGCGTTGGCAATGCTAAAACATTATCATTTATAAATGAAAATACATCAACCCTTTTTGCAGCTTTTTCGCAAACCTTAGCACTCATTGCTAATTGCTTCTTTTGTTCTCTTTCCATTTTCTTTTCGGCATCGAACAAATCTTTGTCACCATTCGCTGCTTCACGGAGATCCATGCAATGATCAAGTGACCTTCCAGGAGGCAGTATTTGTGCAGATACTGGTGTTATTATGCCTCTACCATTAGTACCCAAACCTGACCCATAAATATAGCCCATCTTAGCCATTATTTTCGAGCCGATACCCTTAAACGAAATATTAATATATTAGTTTTTGTATGTAAATTTCAGCAAAAGGTTACCCTTGTATGCTTCTCCCAAGCTCCGAGAGGTTGTGATAATTCATACGTTAAGGCATTATTGAGACTTATATAACTGTCATAAAATTGGGACGTATCACCCGCGTCGCTATCTGCATCATCACTTGAAGTGTCATCTTCTGAATTTTCAAAAAATTTAGGATATATATATACACATATATATATATATATATATATATATATATATATATATATATATATATATATATATATTGCTTTTTTTAACTAACAACAATTTCATACCATAAATAGGTAACAAATTTTCAAATTTTAAATCTTGCTCTTTGTGCTCCCTCTTGGCGTTATCTAAACGAACTCGGCATTCTTTTTCCACGAAGTTTGCACATAGTACACGTCCTCTTTGCCAGAGTCCGTCCTCCATTTTGGCCAAAACAACACAATTCCTTGACAATCGGGAAAAATCTGGTTTAGTATATTCACGCAAAGCTGACGCCGAAACTACTTCGCCGTGGGAATAATGACAATTTTCACTGTCAAAACGACACTCTCCTTCCAAAAAATAAGAGCAAGGGAGCATTTCTTTGTGAGTGGGGTTTGTGAAAAGAATGCGAAATTTAACATCAACATTGCCATCAACATCAATAGGGGCTTCCTTTTCAATGCTACAAATTATAGCATTGTGGTATTCAACAGCGCCCCACGCATGTTTATGTGGAGCACTGCATTTCTCTCCGACCATGTTCTGATATCCTTCCTACATTTTGAACAAAAATCTTGATGTCATGCGGATATTATAAGAACTGTTTAGAATTGGTACCTTCAGCTTTTTCAAACCGTCATCAATTTCCTGCATTTCGTTCATAAATTGCTTGAATTCTTCATCTATTTCATTCTTCTTTCTTGAATTTTCGCAAGGTTGTTCTTCATCTTTGGAAAATTGTGTAAGGGCTATAAGTTCGATCAAGTTTTCCTTTAGGGCCAGTAGTTCTAGACGTTCACTTTCATTTTGGCTTGCTGATAATGATTGCTCAACAGTAAGTAGCTATAAAAAATACATATATAACATATATAAACAAAATGTTTGTTAGCTTTCAATGATTCTTATACAAAAATTCATATTCTTTTTAGTCCTCAATTAAAATCGTTTAAAGATCTTTTCCCAACACAAATATTCTGATTTCCATATCGCATTGTTAAAGACTGACAGAAATAACAGAGCGAATTTTACGGAAGAATTAGTTCATCAACGTCAATGATAGCAAACTTCATAAGTCCTGGCGGCGAAACACGAACCAAAGAATGTTCTTTTTTTAGCACTTATCACAAATGGAGAAAATATGAGGCCTCAAAATGAGATTTACCTGTATTTCAAATTGCTCCATTCTAGAAACATTAAACATTCAAGACTGTGTTATGTTTTCTGTTTTCTTAATTTGGGATGAAATGACAAAAACATTAACTGGATATAAAATTAAAAGCGTCCCCAACAATCAGCGTTCGAAAGTAAACATTATGGTACTGTATTGTTGTGTTCTTTACACCTGCGTGAAGTTAGCAACGTTGCTAACTATCGATAACATCGAATTTCCCCAAAACTACAGGGTGACTCAGAACATCGAAATTTCACATTTAATACCTTTTTTTCAACTGTGCGTCAGAGAAAAAACCTGGAACCGATTTGAAAACAAAATTAATTTATAAAATTATAAATGAAAAAGTCCATGAAATAAACAAATTTTGTTCCATAATGAATTCTCATACTCCAGTTATTAATTCCATACATAACATCGCAAATCAGTTCGTGATACAACAACATTTTCAAATACTGATATTTCACTGGTGGTCGTGACGGAAATCTGCCTCTGGAAGCCTCCATATAAAAACGTCCAAAAAACTGTGAATGCCAAATGTAAGTGGGATCCCTTACGAGTATTTTGGCATATAAAATGTTCTCCAAGTCAGTTTGTGGTAGAACAAAATTTCCAATTTTCTGATATTCCACTGGTGGTCAGGACGGGAATCTGGCTCTGGAAGCCTCCATATAAAAACGTCTAAAAAACTGTGAATGCCAAATGAAAGTGGGAGCCCTTACGAGTAAAATTGTAAAATTGCCAAACTGTCACAATTTTTCCACCATAGTATAGAGGGTATATTAAGTTTGTCACTTCGAAATATACATTTAAGACTCCACAGAGTATATGTATTCTTCATCAGCATAAAATTCTATGTCGATTTAGCTAACCTGTATTTTTCTACCATGGGTAAACCGTGTGTAGAAGAATACAGGTAGTGGCATCGACGCAGCTGCTGGGACAATGAATTGTCAAACCAATTTTGGAATTGAAAATGTTAAATTAAAAATAATTTGGTTCCTCTTTTATTGAGCTTAGAAACTTGTCACTTGGGTAAAAAAGTTTATTTGCCATAGAAGTTATTTTTAAAATAACTTCTGGGGAGAATATCCCAGACAAAAAACAAGGGAACTGATGAGGATTGGTGGCTCTTTCTGAAACGTAGCCAGATTCCATCGTTCTCCTCTAATAAACAAACGCTGTTTTTATAAAAACAACAATAAAAGTATTAAACCTGGCCATTTTGTAACAACAAAGTTATTGAAATTTGTAAAAATTGTTGAAAAATACATATCATAACAACCTCCGATTTGCATGGGTATAAGAATACATATAAAAATCTACTTATTTTTGACAAAACATTTAAAATTTTTTGACATATCAATATTCCCAAGCTTTGCTGCATCCACCTGTATTCTTTTACCATGATTTAACCCGCCGAATCTATGAAACCCAGTGAATTAATCATCCATAGTCTAAACGTACCATTCATTGTACAATCGTGTGTTCTAACTCCAAAGCATGGTAGAAGAATATATCGACACAGCTGCTGCTACAGTGAACTGTCAAACCAAGTTCGGAATTGAATATGACTTATTTAAATTTATAAAAATTGTTGGAAAACGCAAATTATAATAACCTCCGAATGACGTCGTATAAGAAAACATATAAAAATCTGCTTATATTTGAAAAAACATATAAAATTGTTTCACATATCAATGTTTCCAAGCATTGATGCATCTATCTGTATTCTTCTACAATGCTCCAAAGATAGGAGTGTGAACAGCACAATATCTTAAATATTTAACGCCGTCGTAAGAGCTGCTATATCTGTCTGACGGCGACAATCGCATAAAACCAACTCTGCCTTGTCTGCTGTGTTTTCGCCTTTTGTCTTTTGTTATAGATCGAAAACAAATAATTGATATAAATTATTAAGTGAATTAGTCAATGATTGTATATTATTATATTTGTGTAGAACATTAAAATAAATCCGGATTCTTTAAACTGCAATATCAGTTACATTGCAGAGTTGGCATATATTGCATTTTGTGCAAATTGCCTTCATGTCACCTTCCTTTAAAATTTGCAATTGATTTAAAACATCAACAAGCCACAAGGAAAAGCATGGATAATGGTTAAAACATAATACAAAATATTTGCGCGATTTTGACTTAACTCTATTTTATTACTACAAATGGTAGCATTTTGGAAAGGTAAGAGTGTCAGCAATAATTTGGCGCCAATTTGATTGACTCCCATAATGGGCCTCTTTTAGACTTTTTGCGGGTTTTATAAGAAATCCGGGTCCAAAAATCAATAATTTTACTGTTGGATAGGTATTTATATTTATTTATAAGATATTTTTACCCTGATTGTGGGAAACTATTTTTTCTTGGGGACGGACCCGCGATTTTGACACGAAACTTCGGGTTCAAGACCCGGATCCACTTACCCGATATAGACAACGATACCTATGGTTTGAAAGCTTATAAATAAACATAAATACCTCCAACAGTAAAATTATTGATTTTTGGACCCGGATTTCTTATAAAAGCCTCAAAAAGTCTAAAAAAGACCCATTATGGGAGTCAATCAAATTGGCGCCAAATTATTGCTGACACTCTTGCCTTTCCAAAATGCTACCATTAGTTTTAAATCAATTGCAAATTTTAAAGGAAGGTGACAGGAAGGCAATTTGCACAAAATGCAATATATACCAACTCTGCAATGAGACTGATATTGCAGTTTAAAGAATCCGGTTTTATTTAAATATTCTACACAAATATAATAATATACAATCATTGACTAATTCACTTAATAATTTATATCAAATATTTGTTTTCGATCTATAACAAAAGGAGAAAACACAGCAGACAAGGCAGAGTTGGTTTTATGCGATTGTCGCCGTCTAATATTGACAGATATAGCAGCTCTTACGACGGCGTTAAATATTTAAGATATTGTGCTGTTCACACTCCTATCTTTGGAGCATTGTAGAAGAATACAGAAAGATGCATCCATGGTACAATGATATCAAGGTAGGGCTATGATACCATATGATTTTAATTTTTTTTTATTTTCTTGGCTTAATATGTCATTTTTATTTGTTTACGTATGTGTTTTCTTTTCAATAACAAAAATATTGTTCAGCAAATATTCAAATTCGGATGTTTTCAAAATGTTTATTTCAACGTATGCATCGACAAAATCTAGAGTTTTTGTAGCGAAATAATTTTTTAGAGATATATAGTACATGATTTTGAAAAGAAGTGTTGACCTTTCATTCAGTTATCGCGGTTTTAAATTATTTATTCAAATTAAATGCAACTAGTTGTTTGATTTTTTTATCGTTTTGATACTAATTCTGACATTACAAGCCAAACAGGTAGACCTCTATTTTTTCAAAGTTGACCTACCGTCTCTTCATTGTACCATGGATGCATCAATGCTTGGAAACATTGATATGTGAAACAAATTTTATATGTTTTTTCAAATATAAGCAGATTTTTATATGTTTTCTTATACGACGTCATTCGAAGGTTATTATAATTTGCGTTTTTCAACAATTTTTATAAATTTAAATAAGTTTTCATTCATCATATTCAATTCCGAACTTGGTTTGACAGTTCACTGTAGCAGCAGCTGTGTCGATGTGTCTACCTATATTCTTCTACCATGCTTTGGAGTTAGAACACACGATTGTACAATGAATGGTACGTTTAGACTATAGATGATTAACTCACTGGGTTTCATAGATTCGGCGGGTTAACCCATGGTAGAAGAATACAGGTAGATGCAGCAACGCTTGGGAATATTGATATGTCAAAAAATTTTAAATGTTTTGTCAAAAATAAGTAGATTTTTATATGTATTCTTATACCGATGCAAATATGATATGTATTTTTCAACAATTTTTACAAATTTCAATAATTTTGTTGTTACAAAATGACCAGGCTTAATACTTTTATTGTTGTTTTTATAAAAACAGCGTTTGTTTATTAGAGGAGAACGATGGAATCTGGCTACGTTTCGGAAAGATCCACCAATCCTCATCAGTTCCCTTGTTTTTTTTTCTGGGATATTCTCCCCAGAAGTTATTTTAAAAATAACTTCTATGGCAAATAAACTTTTTTACCCAAGTGACAAGTTTTTAAGCTCAATAGAAGAGGAACCAAATTATTTTTAATTTAACATTTTCAATTCCAAAATTGGTTTGACAATTCATTGTCCCAGCAGCTGCGTCGATGCCACTACCTGTATTCTTCTACACACGGTTTACCCATGGTAGAAAAATACCGGTTAGCTAAATCGACATAGAATTTTATGCTGATGCAGAATACATATACTCTGTGGAGTCTTAAATGTATATTTCGAAGTGACAAACTTAATATACCCGCTATACTATGGTGGAGGGCATGAAAGGATAAGGAACTTACTTTTCAAAAATTGTGAAAGTTTAGCAATTTTACAATTTTACTCGTAAAGGCTCCCACTTTCATTTGGCATTCACAGTTTTTTGGACGTTTTTATATGGAGGCTTCCAGAGCCAGATTCCCGTCCTGACCACCAGTCGAATATCAGAAAATTGGAAATTTTGTTCCACCAAAAACTGACTTGGAGAACATATTATATGCCAAAATACTCGTAAGGGCTCCCACTTTCATTTGGCATTCACAGTTTTTTGGACGTTTTTATATGGAGGCTTCCAGAGGCAGATTTCTGTCCTGACCACCAGTGGAATATCAGAAAATTGGAGTTATCGCGGTTTTAAATTATTTATTCAAATTAAATGCAACTAGTTGTTTGATTTTTTTATCGTTTTGATACTAATTCTGACATTACAAGCCAAACAGGTAGACCTCTATTTTTTCAAAGTTGACCTACCGTCTCTTCATTGTACCATGGATGCATCAATGCTTGGAAACATTGATATGTGAAACAAATTTTATATGTTTTTTCAAATATAAGCAGATTTTTATATGTTTTCTTATACGACGTCATTCGAAGGTTATTATAATTTGCGTTTTTCAACAATTTTTATAAATTTAAATAAGTTTTCATTCATCATATTCAATTCCGAACTTGGTTTGACAGTTCACTGTAGCAGCAGCTGTGTGATGTGTCTACCTATATTCTTCTACCATGCTTTGGAGTTAGAACACACGATTGTACAATGAATGGTACGTTTAGACTATAGATGATTAACTCACTGGGTTTCATAGATTCGGCGGGTTAACCCATGGTAGAAGAATACAGGTAGATGCAGCAACGCTTGGGAATATTGATATGTCAAAAAATTTTAAATGTTTTGTCAAAAATAAGTAGATTTTTATATGTATTCTTATACCGATGCAAATATGATATGTATTTTTCAACAATTTTTACAAATTTCAATAATTTTGTTGTTACAAAATGACCAGGCTTAATACTTTTATTGTTGTTTTTATAAAAACAGCGTTTGTTTATTAGAGGAGAACGATGGAATCTGGCTACGTTTCGGAAAGATCCACCAATCCTCATCAGTTCCCTTGTTTTTTTTTCTGGGATATTCTCCCCAGAAGTTATTTTAAAAATAACTTCTATGGCAAATAAACTTTTTTACCCAAGTGACAAGTTTTTAAGCTCAATAGAAGAGGAACCAAATTATTTTTAATTTAACATTTTCAATTCCAAAATTGGTTTGACAATTCATTGTCCCAGCAGCTGCGTCGATGCCACTACCTGTATTCTTCTACACACGGTTTACCCATGGTAGAAAAATACCGGTTAGCTAAATCGACATAGAATTTTATGCTGATGCAGAATACATATACTCTGTGGAGTCTTAAATGTATATTTCGAAGTGACAAACTTAATATACCCGCTATACTATGGTGGAGGGCATGAAAGGATAAGGAACTTACTTTTCAAAAATTGTGAAAGTTTAGCAATTTTACAATTTTACTCGTAAAGGCTCCCACTTTCATTTGGCATTCACAGTTTTTTGGACGTTTTTATATGGAGGCTTCCAGAGCCAGATTCCCGTCCTGACCACCAGTCGAATATCAGAAAATTGGAAATTTTGTTCCACCAAAAACTGACTTGGAGAACATATTATATGCCAAAATACTCGTAAGGGCTCCCACTTTCATTTGGCATTCACAGTTTTTTGGACGTTTTTATATGGAGGCTTCCAGAGGCAGATTTCTGTCCTGACCACCAGTGGAATATCAGAAAATTGGAGTTATCGCGGTTTTAAATTATTTATTCAAATTAAATGCAACTAGTTGTTTGATTTTTTTATCGTTTTGATACTAATTCTGACATTACAAGCCAAACAGGTAGACCTCTATTTTTTCAAAGTTGACCTACCGTCTCTTCATTGTACCATGGATGCATCAATGCTTGGAAACATTGATATGTGAAACAAATTTTATATGTTTTTTCAAATATAAGCAGATTTTTATATGTTTTCTTATACGACGTCATTCGAAGGTTATTATAATTTGCGTTTTTCAACAATTTTTATAAATTTAAATAAGTTTTCATTCATCATATTCAATTCCGAACTTGGTTTGACAGTTCACTGTAGCAGCAGCTGTGTGATGTGTCTACCTATATTCTTCTACCATGCTTTGGAGTTAGAACACACGATTGTACAATGAATGGTACGTTTAGACTATAGATGATTAACTCACTGGGTTTCATAGATTCGGCGGGTTAACCCATGGTAGAAGAATACAGGTAGATGCAGCAACGCTTGGGAATATTGATATGTCAAAAAATTTTAAATGTTTTGTCAAAAATAAGTAGATTTTTATATGTATTCTTATACCGATGCAAATATGATATGTATTTTTCAACAATTTTTACAAATTTCAATAATTTTGTTGTTACAAAATGACCAGGCTTAATACTTTTATTGTTGTTTTTATAAAAACAGCGTTTGTTTATTAGAGGAGAACGATGGAATCTGGCTACGTTTCGGAAAGATCCACCAATCCTCATCAGTTCCCTTGTTTTTTTTTCTGGGATATTCTCCCCAGAAGTTATTTTAAAAATAACTTCTATGGCAAATAAACTTTTTTACCCAAGTGACAAGTTTTTAAGCTCAATAGAAGAGGAACCAAATTATTTTTAATTTAACATTTTCAATTCCAAAATTGGTTTGACAATTCATTGTCCCAGCAGCTGCGTCGATGCCACTACCTGTATTCTTCTACACACGGTTTACCCATGGTAGAAAAATACCGGTTAGCTAAATCGACATAGAATTTTATGCTGATGCAGAATACATATACTCTGTGGAGTCTTAAATGTATATTTCGAAGTGACAAACTTAATATACCCGCTATACTATGGTGGAGGGCATGAAAGGATAAGGAACTTACTTTTCAAAAATTGTGAAAGTTTAGCAATTTTACAATTTTACTCGTAAAGGCTCCCACTTTCATTTGGCATTCACAGTTTTTTGGACGTTTTTATATGGAGGCTTCCAGAGCCAGATTCCCGTCCTGACCACCAGTCGAATATCAGAAAATTGGAAATTTTGTTCCACCAAAAACTGACTTGAGAACATATTATATGCCAAAATACTCGTAAGGGCTCCCACTTTCATTTGGCATTCACAGTTTTTTGGACGTTTTTATATGGAGGCTTCCAGAGGCAGATTTCTGTCCTGACCACCAGTGGAATATCAGAAAATTGGAAATTTTGTTCTACCAAAAACTGACTTGGAGAACATTTTATATGCCAAAATACTCATAAGGGCTCCTACTTTCATTTGGCATTTACATTTTTTGGACGTTTTTATAAGGAGGCTTTCAAAGCCAGATTCCCGTCCTGACCACCAGTGAAATATCAGAATTTGAAAATGTTGTTGTATCATAAACTGATTTGCGATGTTATGTATGGAATTAATAACTGGAGTATATGAATTCATTATCGAACAAAATTTGTTTATTTCATGGACATTTTCATTCATAATTTTAAAAAATATTTTTTTTTTCAAATCGGTTCCAGGTTATTTCTCTGACGCACAGTTGAAAAAAAGTATTAAATGTGAAATTTCGATGTTCTGAGTCGCCCTGTAGTTTTGGTGGAATTCGATGTTATGGATAGTTAGCAACGTTGCTAACTTCACGCAGGTAGTGTTGCTTCCTTTGTCTTAATTCTTATAATAGGGGACAAATTGGTTTGTTTTGACAAATCAGCTGATTAGTTGCAAGCTTCTGCAGAAATACCGTCTGTTTACTTTTCGAATTTTCCTCGCAAAAGAGAATAAAACTACCTTACTCTCTCAGAAAGAAGTTGCTGGACAATTCCTGCTGGAAAAGTAACCAGACAAACCTTATATGTGCCAGGAATCGCAAAATATAAACGATTTCATTTTTTTCAGAGATCACAAGTTGTGTGTATGTGCATTTCAAAGGAGGAAATTTTAATTTTGAAAGTTGGATGTTGTCAATGAAATATTATGAAACAATTGTATATCACATGTTTCCATGTATAATTTCTCCATGGATGTCGCCAAGTCAAAATCGTTTATTATAATATTATTTTATTTTACTTATTTTGTTAATTGCTTGGCTTAAGGTCATTAAAAAAAAAATGTTTTTATTTTTGAATTTTTCCTTTTTTATTCATCCAATATTTCGATTTCCTCCGGAAATCATCTTCAGGGATCTGTTTTACAAAAAACACAAATTACAAACTGATTTTAACAATATATAACACAATAAATAACATACATTTTTAAAGTAAAAAGCTCGTCTATTGAGTTTAAATGTTACTATCGAACTAAGTTTTCTTTCGTCGGTGTTTATGAACTAGGCTTCTGTAAATGTGAGCACAATGGTCTGTATCGGTTTTATAATACATTTACAGAAGCCTAGTTCATAAACACCGACGAAAGAAAACTTAGTTCGATAGTGACATTTAAACTCAATAGACGAGCTTTTTACTTTAAAAATGTATGTTATTTATTGTGTTATATATTGTTAAAATCAGTTTGTAATTTGTGTTTTTTGTAAAACAGATCCCTGAAGGTGATTTCCGGAGGAAATCGAAATATTGGATGAATAAAAAAGGAAAAATTCAAAAATAAAAACATAGTTTTTTTTTAATGACCTTAAGCCAAGCAATTAACAAAATAAGTAAAATAAATATAACAGGTCAACAATATACAACAACAACAAATATTATTTTATTTTTGAAGGTTCCGGAAGAGAACAATTATGGAAATAGTTTAAAGTCAAAGAGATGTTGAAACAGCGTGAAACGGACCTATTGGCATCATGGTAGAAGAATACAGCTGCTAGGATAATGAACTGTCAACCCTATTTCGGAATTGAAAATGTTGAATGAAAAACTATTGAAATTTTGCAAAAAATGTTGAAAAATCGATATTATAACAACCTTTGATTTGCGTCGTATAAGAAAACATATAACAATCTACTTATATTTGCAAAATGTTTTAAACATTTTCACACATCAATGTTCTCAAGCGTTGAGGCATATACCTGTATTATTCTGCCATATATTTACATCCCTTCTGTGGTTTACGTCACTCTTAACGATGTACCCAACTTTTTTGCTTAAAACGTACTAAATTATGTACTTTTACGTACATACATGTATTGAATCAGTTTTGATAAGCCAATTCAACGAAGTTTTTCTAACATTTTTTTCTGTGCAATCATTTTAAATAATTATTGCGCATTTGTTACCTTTGTTATTGCTAATTAGTTATACAAATAAGAGCGCTTAATTTGTTGGACATTTTTTACGAAGAAAAACTTCAAAATAATTATCTGCTCAAAATGGGAAACTCAACGTCAAACAGTAATGATGGTGGTGAAGTGCCCGAAGGTGGAGCTAACAATAACAAGAAAAGTGGGCATTCTTTAGCTGTTAATGCTGCTCTCAAGGTCGAAAATACAATGAGCCGTTCAGCTTCTGGAGCAGATGTAACCGAGAAATATTTTACACAATTGGTTCCCATTGAAAAGCTATCCGAAATTCTTAAAGAAAAATCTTTAAAACAAGGTGTACATGGAATCACATCGGAAGTGTTTGTGGTAGGTTGCGACATCATTGAATACAAAAAAATTGATTAAAAATAATTTAATACTCCTTGTTTAACCAACAATGACGTTATTCTTTGAACAGTCGCAGGTTTTTCCGCAGTATACAGATCTTGGGCAACGTCTATTCAAATTTATGCATGTGACGTCTAGAGCAACAACTAGTTACTTGGGCACTGTAGCCTTCCGCCAACAGTGTGAGCGATTCTTAGGAATAATGGACGATGCAAAGATATTGGAATGCTACATAAGAATGTATGCACAAGCAGAAAATCCCGACTTCGTAGACCGAGAAGGAGTTACTCGATTGCTCCATATATGTTACACAATCGCTATGCAGCACTCCGGTAATTCCTTACTATGTCCTTCGGTAAGTTGTTTGAATTTTAACAATAAGAATTTGGCATAAGTTGAGTTTAGGGGCTATGCTTGGATTGACCTGAAATTTTTACCGCAGGTAGGTATTTGTAACCTGATTACGGCAATATAATTTTTTTGTGGGGGAAATACCCGGTTACCCGGTTATTCGACCCAAAAGTTCGGATACAACATCCGGTTTATATCCGGTTCTACGTAACCGATATCAATAATATGGGTATCATTTGAAAGCTTATGAAAATATCTATCCAACAAGTGGTCATATGACGGGGTAATTGGAACCTGTTTCGGAGAAATTTAGGAAAATGTGCATTTTTGTATGAGTAATTTTTGAAAAACCCATAAAAACTCGAAAATGGACCCATTATAGGGTCTTAAAATCTATACACAATATTATAGCTAACACTATTGCCTTTCCAAAATGGTGTCATATGTGTTGATATCTTTTGTAGTTCCGAAGATATTGACTTTTAAAGTCGTTACTTATGAAAGCAGTTTGAGTGAACCCAAGTTTTGTGTCGGGTTTAACGTTCTTGTTAATCTGCTTTGTTTTTAATTTGGTGTTGTTAGAATATTATGGATCGCGTAGTCGGTGTTGGACATATCCCAGAGGAGAAAATCTTAAGCCCCGGCCGAAGGCCGGCTACTTACAAAAATTACAATTTTTAGAAAAACTATGGATCGCGTAGCCGGTGTTGGACATACCCCAGAGGAGAAAATCTTAAGCCCCGGCCGAAGGCCGGCTACTTTCGAAAACTACAGTTTTTAGGAAACTATTGATCGCGTAGCCGGTGTTGGACATACCCCAGAGGAGAAAATCTTAAGCCCCGGCCGAAGGCCGCCTACTTACAAAAATTACAATTTTTAGAAAAACTATGGATCGCGTAGCTGGTGTTGGACATACCCTAGAGGAGAAAATCTTAAGCCCCGGCCGAAGGCCGGCTACTTACAAAAATTACAATTTTTAGAAAAACTATGGATCGCGTAGCCGGTGTTGGACATACCCTAGAGGAGAAAATCTTAAGCCCCGGCCGAAGGCCGGCTACTTACAAAATGTACAATTTTTAGAAAAACTATGGATCGCGTAGCCGGTGTTGGACATACCCCAGAGGAGAAAATCTTAAGCCCCGGCCGAAGGCCGGTTGCTTAAAAAAGCTATAAAGGTCAAAGTCAAATGCATCTAGACTGGAGAAAAATATAATTTAATGAATTCTATCTCTTATATCCACGGAACCACAAAAGATATCAACACATATGACACCATTTTGGAAAGGCAATAGTGTTAGCTATAATATAGTGTATAGATTTTAAGACCCTATAATGGGTCCGTTTTCGAGTTTTTATAGGTTTTTCAAAAAGTACTCATACAAAAATGCAAATTTTCCTAAATTTCTCCGAAACCGGTTCCAGCAACCCCGTCATATGACCACTTGTTGGATAGATATTTTCATAAGCTTTCAAATGATACCCATTTTATAGATATCGGTTACGTAGAACCGGATACAAACCGGATGTTATATTCGAACTTTTGGGTCGAATAACCGGGTAACCGGGTATTTCCCCCACAAAAAAATTACATTGCCGTAATCAGGTTACAAATACCTACCTGCGGTAAAAATTTCAAAATGATCCGAGCATAGCCCCTAAACTCAACTTGCTCCAAGAATTTTCCTGCATAATCAGACTTTTAAAAATTAGATTTTTTGTACATTATTTACTATAACATTTATTTAAAGTAAATTATTTACCATAACTTTTTTGGAAAAAAACTGTACTATGAAAAGTTTCTCCCTCATGTCCAAGTATTACGAAAAGATATCGAACAACATTCAGTAAAATATAGCATGAAAACAGCGGTCTCTGTGTTAATTGCTTGTTATATGAAAAATAATTAAGGTATGTAAAATATTGCCTGAAATCTATAAACATTTGCTGTTATGATTACTCTCCTTATTCAGTCTCAAAATATTGGGGTACCTAATAGCTGTAGACGATAACTTTTCTAGTGAAAATCACTTTGTAAAGCTTACTGCCGGAAATTTGTAAACATTTTTGCATCGGCAACAAAACCGCGGTTTTTCAAACGGGTGGTGTTACTGAATTTGAGTGTGAATTACATGAGTGAATTTGTCCATTAATGTTTGCATAGACAAATGAAAATATTGACGAAGAAATGCTCTCACCGTTTATCTTCGAAAAAGTCGGATTACCAGATGTCGCCTATATCGTTTCAGGCGTATAAGTGAAAATATTGAAGTCAGTTGAAAATTGTTCCATAATAAAAATAAATATGAAAAGTACGTGATGATATCGAAAACTTCAGAAATAATCAAGTGAAATTCTTGAAAAACGATAAAATGTGTTTTCGAAGTCGATTAGGTCGACTGCGTTAATTAGCATGTTGAATAGGCAAAACATGCTGAGAGCCACCTGTATAATAAGGCAAGCTAACTTTTCGTTGTCTACATGTTCATTTGTCTATGGTTTTTGCAAACTCTCAGTAACACAACTGTCAAAATTGTTCTTTTTACTCATATACTGGACTCTTGGGTTGTCGAACAACATTTTGTACAAAATATTGCATTTTCGTACACACCATTTCTTGATCAACGTAAGATTCTAAATAGATTTAGCTATGCCCGTCTTTTTAATCACGTTCAAGTTCATAAATGTACCACGCCAGTCCACGTTTTTGTATAGCTCCCTCTTTAAAATAAGTAATGGTTTTTTAAATCTTGTGCCAGAATATTGTCTATATACGGTACCTCCAAATATTTAGTAATTTGATGATTTTAGCCACATTTTTCAACAGTTTTTTAACCATATCTTGTTTACCTTAAAAGAGAGAAAATTTGTATTTACTTTATGACAACTTTGGGGTGAGTACATGTTACCGGAAAAGGAAATTAACGCATATATCAAATTGTACAAATTAATGTACAATCGAAATGTGAATCGAAATGAAAAAAAAAAAAAAAAAAACGACGGTAGTCACTTGAAGTCGACTTAAATTGGAATTTACCTTATTCCTTAACGTAAGTCATACGATACTCTTATAAACTTTACAACAAGTGTTGTACAACGGCTTGAAAATATAACCGAATTTTTTGGTACAAGTAATTCAAACACTCTAAAATTTGAAATAAAGAAGATGACTCAAGGGCTCATAGCACAACAAAATAAAGAATAAAAGAAAACCATAAAACAAAACGGTAAGGCCATAATTAGCAGACGCAAAAACTACAATCATAGCATAGATGTTCAACATCATTGACCCTAAAGAGAGAACTGGTATTGGAAAAATTTCGTAAAGCCAATGGAAGTTGATTCCACAATATCAAAACCCTCACAACAAAAGACATCTCACCAATTGAGGTTGAAAATCTAGGACATACAAGTTGGTTATTACGGATGGCCTGCAAAATAAGAACCTGCAATCTGAAATCAACCCATCTGCATGAAAAACTCTTACGCCTATATATGGTCAGACAAGAAGACGGTTTTGACAATAAAATTTTGAAAACTTGAAATTTTACATTATTGTTATTGGATATTCGGTCATCAGCTGGCAAAAAATTTTGACATTTCATCTTGTTTTTTTTTTAAATTTGCATGAATACCTTGTTATTGCGCCATGCTCTCCCCTTAATCCTGCTGACTTCCAAATTTAATATCAAAATGCATTATTGTGTATTTTTATTTTTTAATTTGCAAAAAGACCTTGTTATTGTGCTATGGCACAAAGGTTGAGTAGACTTAAGATAGGAATACATAAAGCACATATTCGGCTCGCTTAAGTCATTGGCTGGCTTCTTCGGAAATGAACAAAGGAGCCTAGGACCAAAATCGAACTAAGTCAACCTAAAACACCTTTGTCCCTCTACGAAGAATCCAGATGATGACTTAAGCCAACCAAATAAGCGCTTTATGTATTCCCACCTTCATTTGTGTAATTTAGACAGTTGAGTTACGGAAAGTTTTGCGAACTATTAGTGGAAAAAATGTCTCCGTAAATTTGATTTATTCCATGTCGTTTCAGTAACTATGCCTAATGTAGGCGATCAAAGCTACACAAAATAACTTAAAGTAAACTCTTTGCTCTTTCTTCCTGACACTCAAATCAGTAAATAAAAATGAACCGCGATGCGTGGAGAATATTCAAAAGTCATTACCGCCCAATTCAACAAACAAATCAGTTATTATAATTTTTTCATTAATTTTTTTATTTTATTTTGTTCTATGGATCTGAATACGAACATCACAATTCTGCAAAGGAACATACGAGGTTTTATTTGCCATAAATTTGCTTTAGATATAATTAATGCAGTGCACAAACCAAGCATTATAGTTTTACTGGGTCTCTCACGGACCAAAATATGCATCTATTATTTCTTCCAAGTTACAAAGTTTATAATCACAACAAAAACTATAACTTTTCCAAGTCTGGAATATCTATTTTTGTCAAAAAATAATATTAATTGTTGCCAACGAAAGCATTTTATTTGAAATTCTATTATTTCTATTATTATATGGGTCTCCTCTTCACATAATAAATGTCTATAAAGAATATGCCTTAGCTGCAACTCCAGATATAGTTAATTCTATTAACATACCACCTATGTGTCGAACAGAACACCCTCTGGGGCTCATCTGAGTCCTCTAATGGAGGTTTCATATGGGAAGAGTTTGGTGATACTCATGGTTTTGCCATCCTCAACGACGGTTCCCCTACTATTTTAAGCACTCGCAATACCTTTACAATTATAGATGTAACAATGTGCACCTTTGACTTGGCCCCTACTCGGTCCTGGAAAACATCAGCCCTACCGGACGTAGATCATTTCTATATTACAGAAGAATTTGTGCCTTATGTGAATGTAAGAAAGCCGAAAGATTGATATGGAACAAATTTCTTTAACTCTCTTGACTTAAATATGCATGTTCGTTGTTTATGGAATAAGGTAAACACCTTAAGAAATCCAAAATTGGATCAATTTTCTAGCATATTTTATTAAAATCTCACCAACCACAACGCGTTCACCTCTTTTTGAAGCTCCATAAGCTCTGATGAATCTTTGACCCTTGCATTTGCTTACCCATTAAATCATACTTTCTCTATTAGTAATCCCAATGTTAAACACAAACAACATGCTTCTTACAGAAAAAGTCGAGCTTCGTAAACTTAATGATGTTTTCCAAACTCTGAAGAGTTCCCCTCCTTCTTTGGTTAAACATAAGTTTTCAATGAAACGGAATGCTCCAACTTTAATAAAGAAAGGGATATGTAACTTGTATTATAGGTTAATACACGATGACGTCTTCCCACATGACTGGAAGATCGCAATTCTTTGCCCTGTCAAGGAAAAATCCAAATTCTTTGCAGGGACATAAACCCACCTTATTACTCCCCGTTCTTTCAAAGATTTTTGAAATACTTTTGGCAAGGCGTTTACTACATTTCTTCACAATCCAACATGCCTTCCTTCCACATCACGGTGTACATACATTGTGTCACAAGCTGGAGTGTACATTGCGTGGCTTTTGACTTTCTTGTATACACCAGTATACTCACAGAACTCCATAATTTGGAGAGTACAAGGTCAAGTCATTGCATTAATGTATGTAGTAAGAGTAGATAGCTATTTTTGAAATTCTTTTACTTTGGATAACGATGTACCTCAGGGGTTCGCATATCTCAGTTGTACTTTACAATACGTACATAAATTCTATATGCAGAACTCTTGAAAACGTATCAGGAATCGATTTTGTAGGAGTATACGCTGATAACATATTTGCAATTTTAACAATAGTCTTAGAACTGCCACAGGGCTTCTTCGTTCCACACCTCAAGAAGCACTTTATATAGAGGGAAATTACAATGATTTTCTACATATTTAGGAACTGTTCTCTAATAGTCTGGCCATCATATATTGATGTATAAACTCTATTCGATTGAGAGTACTTTATCTTTAGACTTAAAAGTCCACACCAGTAAAAAGTGCTATGAACAACTCTTGCTTGAAAAATTGCTGCATTAAGCCCGACATTCGAAGGAATTAAGAAATTGACAACAAACAGTTTCTTAACGATTTGCAAAACAAGATTGCCAAGCAATACGGGTATATTCACAGCGGAGCTGAGTGCTGTAAAAACCGCCATAGTCCACGCCAAACAATATATAAACACCCTAATTTGTATCAATAATTTGAGTGTCGCAAGGCCCTTCAAGAAAACAAAGCAGGAATCGGCACTGATATGGTGAAGATCCACTGTGTGATTGTAGTTTTATGGATACCATTACATTCAGGTAGTAAAGGAAATGATTTCGCTGATAAGACAAAAGAAGCATTGGTTATCGCTCATATAGCAGAAATTGTCTGTTTTCATTTCACCATATAATGTTGTAATCTTCGTCCACTTTTCTTAGACGAGTTTATTTAACAATTCCAAGGATTAGCTGCAATCCTGATTATCTAGATCCTATTGCATTTCCTAACCCGACTCAGGCTTGGTAAATGCCTAATTAACACTCGACACTATTTGTGGCGAGCTTATTATAATTGAACATGTTCTAGTAGAATGTCAATACTCTGCAATCAATTTAGGCATCGAAAAAATACTTATTTGTTCCACTTAAGAGTTTGTACTCTGAATTCGTTTGGCACTAAATATTCATAATGTTCGTTCGATCCATATTATTCGTATATGTAGCTAGAATATACTCATTAAGAAATCTATTCATAAAAGGATCGCATAAGATCTTAGTTACCCGCGCCTCATTTCAATATTTTGTAAAGTATACTTACAAATAATAAAATATTTTGTAAATAAATAATATTTTTTTAGCATAAGCGTAACCATGGTACAATGAAAAATTTGGCAAGTTTGCAATTTTGGTAAGCAAAGAGGCCTATCTGTATGAATTACAACGTCAAAATTACGATCAAAACAAATCAGAGGGGACTAATATACATATAGGGGGCATATCCAATTCTGAATTGCATTTGACGAAGGCATTTTATCTTTTATACCAAATAACATTGCTATATAGTGCATGATATCACTTCCAGAAGGATTATATTAAAAAAGTATATAGCTGAGCCGAGTTCCACAAAATGGAAATGTACGTCCCGAAATTCACTCTATTTGGGCTGATGTTAGTGATTATTTGCAATTTAAACCTAAAATCGCATTAAGGATATATATAGGAGCTGTATCCAAATCTTAGCCGTTCTCGATAAAATTTGGCAGAAGTATTTCTGAGCTCTATAAGATATCTGGTACCAAATACACCGAAGCGGATGAAACATATATATGGGTGATAAAGGTATATCTGAACCGATATTATCCAAATTTGATGTACTTGCTTCTACACTGAATTCGGTCGGATGTACCACAATTTAGGAATTTTTGACAGATATTGGCCATTTGGTGCGCAATTAAGATATGGGATCTATACCCAAATCTGATCCAATCTTGATAAAATTTGGCAGAGGTATTTCCGAGCACTATAAAATATCTGGTACCAAATATCATTATTGTCGAATGCATATTACGAATGTGAGGGACTTAAAAACAAAATTGGATGAATTATATGGGAGCTATAGCTATATCTAAACTGATTTACGCCAAATTTGAAGTACTGGTTTCTAGGATGAATACAGTCGTCATTGCCAAAATTCAGTCCATTTGGGTTGATATTAGCCATTTAGTGCACAATAAACCTGATATCGGACTAAGATATATATAGGAACTATATCCTAATCTAAATCGATCTCGAAAAAATTTGACAGAGGCATTTTCGAGCGGTATCTGATGTCCGGTGCCAAATATCGTTCTTGTAGAGTGCATTTTACGAATGAGAGGTACTTAAAACCCCAAATCGGATGAATAATATATATGGGAGCTATATCTATATCGGAACCGATTTTCTCCAAATTTTATGTACTTTCTTCTAGACTGAATTCGGTGGGATGTACCAAAATTCAGGTCATTAGAAAATATATTAGTCATTTGGTGCACAATTAACCCGAAATCCGTTACAATAGGTTTCGTCCTTGGGCCAAACAGATATTGTTTGGAGAATTTAATCGGATAATAAATGCGACCTGCATTTTGTTCACAAGAATATATGGACGGACGGACTGACATGCATAAATTGACTCAGAAAGTGATTCTATGAAGATCCACAAAGTACAGGCAAATGCACAAAGTCATAATGCCCTTCCCACTATGTGGTGTAGGGTATAAAAATAAAATCGATTGGTTTCAGTGCATTACCTTGATTTCATTGTTCCATGAGCGTAACGTAATATTCACCCTTATTCTATTTGTCAACGGCGTTTGTTGGCGAATCGGTATTCTAATGTTTCAGAGCCTGTAAGAGTCCACTAATTTTGCAATTTTTTCGATATTCTAAAGTGAAAATCGGTTATCGAAGCAAAAACTTTTACATTCTTGCAGTTCTGAAACAAACCTTAAGTCTCAATATTATCATTTGTGAAGCTTTTCGGTATTAAGGAAATGTGACGACGACGTAGACTTGTATTGGCTTTGATTTTTTATTTATTTTCAATATAAAGAGTTACCTGACCCATAGGGCTATGGACGGGTCCTAAAACATCTATGCATGACTACTCTAAAATTAAATATAACATTCTTATTCTTAAATATCTTTATACAAATTTGACATTTAAAAAATTACCAAAAAGAGATGAGCAAAAATAACAAGGAATAGAATCATTAGATTAATCTGATATGCAAAGGCAATACAAAAACAAAATTTCTACCACAAGAAAAACCATTAAAAGTCTAAACAATATTTTGATTAAAATGAGCATAGAATTTACGCTTATAGCATTTTAGGGAAATTAAATTCGTGAGAGAGCAATTATATACAAAAGATTTTTTTAACGGAGGAGTCAAGCGTGGTTAAGGCATTTGCGGGTTTCTTACCGATCTAGGAAACATAAAAAGATTAAAAAGAGAAGAAGGTGTCTGCATTTTAAAATTATTGTAGAAGAACAAAAAGATTTTTTGTAAGAGTTTTTAATGTTCACTTGTATTTTTTAGGTTTTTTTTTACAAAATAAAATAAAATGGAAAAGTTCCAAAATAAAAATAAGTTCAAACCAATTTAATAAATTAGTTAAGGAGCTAAAAAATAAATAAACCAAATTAGTGTGGACGTCTGTAGCAAGTCGAAATAAGGGTGATTATACCGTGAAATAAGTGTAATTAGCTGCCTAAATTACAGTTTTGTTTCGTATTTTTCAACTATTTGAAAATGTAACGCATACACTTTGAAGGACTGCTGTTTCTGAATTTTATTGAATGCGTGCAGTATTTGTATTGTAATGGATCAGTGAACAAAACTTTTTACATTGAATAAGAAAACAAAGTGGTTTCAGTGCATTACCTTGATACATAAGAAATAAAAATTAAATCATACATCAATGAATTTCAATTATTAGCTCCCACTTACAACTCTACCTGTTCACAGAAAATTTGGCAATAAATGTCATGAACATAGAATTTGTCACAGATTCTAGTATATCCACCTTTTTTGTCCTTCTGGGGTGATTGTAAAAAATAAAAAATATAGTAAAAAACAATACTTTTCAAAATTTCAAATAATCCATTAGTTTTTCGAATTAATCTTTGATGAGAGTTTCAAATAATCTGTTAGTTTTTCTTAATTAAAAATTATACATACTTTTTTCCCTTTTCAGATTAATCGAACCTTCAGTTCTGTGACGAAATCAATTTTTTTCAGTCACGATACTTTAAGCGTTGGCTTTGTTTGTCGCTGGTTTGAACAGAATTTAATACGTTTAGTACTTTTGGTATATAAGTATTGTGTTCACACTCTTTCAACCGCATATCGTGGCCTTGAACAGGATGGACAGTCATGCGGTATAGAACTACAGACACCAGTTTTGGAACAACGTAATCCATTTTCCGATAAAAGTCAAAATGTTCAGTCCGGAGATTCCGTTGACGCCTCTTCCTCCCTAATGCCATTATCGCAAGCCTGGTTATTAGCTGGTGGATTGCCGCCATTATACTCTAAGCCACAAAAAGTAACATCACCAAGTGCCAATAAGGCCTCGGCAGCACAAATATTTATAGAAAAATTGTCTATGATGCCTTCCCATTGGACGTTATTGTACGATTCAAATGAACATGGTTTGGGTGCTAATAGGTTTCTACATCACGTCCTTGGTTATCGAGGACCAACATTGATATTAATTCACACAAAAGATGATCAAACATATTTGATCGCCTCGCCAAATGAATGGAAGGAGACACACCTTTATACAGGTGGTGACGGTTGTTGTGTTTTACAACTATGGCCGAAGTAAGTATGTCATGAAAAAAAAAAAAAAAAAAACTTAAAAAAGCTAAACTTTAACATTTTCCGATAGATTTGTGATATTGGAAAAGAAACCTAACATTCTCTACCTAAATACATCTATTAGAGGATATCCGAAAGGTTTACGAGCCGGTGCAGATCCTAGAAAGCCAATAATAGCGGTAGACGAACATTTTGAAAACGTCGATTGCAAAGGAATTGCTGCCGTTTTACTTTCAATTGAGGTAAGTATTTTTTTAAGACTTATTGTGCTCCCAAAGATATATACTATTGGGAATTTTTAACAAAGGATGAATTTTCGCTACTTCATTTTTATACATGCAAATGCGATGAAAATAATAGACGTTTAATGACTTCTCTTGAACGCAATAACGGAACCAGTAAAATTACTACTTCACTTAGAACCGCATACAAAAGGCAGATTTTGTATGCTGGTATAGAAAAAAGATCGCTAAATTTATAATGCACATTGGTAAAAAAATAAATGGCGTCTTAAATTGAAAATGTGATCTCAGAAGGACACATTTCGCGACGAAAGCAATATATACAGGCATGTCACAAAATCGTATCGAAATGGTTTGAATTTCATAATTCAAAATCGTTCATTTTTGTTTTAGCTTCTTCAGATTTCGTACGATTTGGTGAACTACGAATTCAGTTTAAATATGGCAACATTATATACAAACTGGTAAGATTAGAGGAATGAAAGAACGAATTAATGAGGGATCAAAACAAAACACATGATTAGAAACATATAGATGTGTAAATATTCTGTTTAAAAGAGTTTTTTGTGCCAAAAGCAACATTGAAATTTGTTCCTCAATTTCACTGAGCACATATTTGTTGAAAGGACCACCACCAGTTTTTGCATTTTCCTTTTTATTGTGACACAATTTTTTAACGTATGTGCAGTCTGACAATGTCTTTTTCCACCCATTTGAATCTTTGGTGTGTGGTGCCGAGGAATTTTGATTTTTGGTAAGCTGGGACCAACTTGTTGGCCCTTCGCTAGGTCCTGGTGGCTCTTCATAAAAACTAAAAAACAACAATTTCTAGTGCCGAATTCCTGTGCCTGTTTTGTTTTTTCTCTTTGCTTCAGCTTATTATTCGTAATACCACATCGTTTGGTTTTCACAGATGAATAATTTTTGTTTGAAGAAAAATGTGATTTGGCAACACTTTGTTAACAATTGAAAAACAATTAAAATTTGCTAATTATTTTAATAAAAGGATTAAAAAAGTAAATATAATTGTGTATTTGTCATCCGGACAACATTTTTATTGCTTAAAAGTATTTTGAGAGTATATAAAGTCGTAAGTTTCCATAAAAATACAATATCACTTGTAAAAACAAAAATGGTTTCAAATCGAAAAAATGTTGCAATTTACATTTTCTGAAGAAGCTAAATACGAAAATAAAATCACTTTCGTACCGAATTCATTCTTGTGACATGCCTGATACAAAACTCATTTATTCCCAGCAAAATTATTTGATGATCATAAGTACAAAAGATTCTTGCCTGCACATTTTCGCGCGTAATTAAATAACGATAGCAAAATATTAAAAAATTTGAAATAACACACTATCGCCTCTACTTATGCTTTTCTTGTAGAATATTTATTGTAAAAGAAATATAAACATGATCGTTTTTAAAATGCTTCTGATTTAGAAAGGGAAATTCTCTGAGAGACAAGAAAATATTTATCAAGTTTATGATCAAAGCTATAGCAATTGTTTGATGCTTTATTCGTATTAATATAACAATTATTAGATTACATACTTTAAATACATATATTTATACATTATCTAAAATCTGTCATTAATCAAATATGATGACAATGATAAAGAAACTAATTTTGTATAATTAATATCATGTGTTTGTTTTCGTATGTACTATATATGTATATGCGATTAGTTATCACCAAAAAAGCTTCCATAACAAAAACAAATTTCTGTAATGATAGATTTAAAAATAATTTTATGTTCTAGGTATGGGGTTGTGGAGATAAAACATCACGTGAAGTACAATTAGATATCAAGAAATGGCAAATTAAAGAAGCCGAACGACAACGCACTGTTAAACTCACCGCAGCAGATTGGATGGATCATCCGGATCGTTTTCTTTTAGAATTGGGTGGACGACAGAACTACAACAATTGAGTACAAATTTGTCATCAAATCTGGTTGGATCATTGGAAGAATTCCGAAAATATCGTGCCTTCAATAGTTGTTTCATAGAGAAATGACTTCGTATTATTTGAACAGCACTATTTTGCTTAATTTATTATTCGAGCATATCTAATATAGCATCCCGTTAATGTTTTGATTTATTTAGTTATTTGGTTGTATATTTTTGTTATGTTGTTTTGAATGTGCTTCGTCAGTCTTTTTACAAAATATGACCAAGAAAAAAAATGTACTTAATTAAATTGTGCTCGTTTAGTGAAATAAAATAATTAAGGACAAAAACGAAAGAAAAATAAAGTATTATTTTTAAAATTAAAACAAAAACTAATCAATATTTTCGGAAACATTCCATTGAGGTAAAGATAATAATACGGACAAATGTTATAAAAATAACTTTTTTAAATACAAAAAAATTATTTATGTGTACATTTAGTAAAAACTACACAATATCTGGACCATTTTTAAATTCTGATTGGAATTGAATTGCTTATAGCAGTTTGTCTTACATATATAATATCTATATTTTAAAAAGAAATCTGTTGAATAATCCGAACGTTTCTAACTGGAATGAAGTAAGTTATTTACAAATTTACTTTCCACAAGGGAAGTGGAAGTATTTCTTTGACAACTCGTTGGCGGTGTATTTTCAATTTTTGCATTATACCTGTGAACACAAACTCTAAAGTCTATAAAACACATTAATATATTAGCTTCCTTGCTTGAATTTTACTGATAAAATTCCAGGAATCCGCCGGTAAACTAATTACAGGAAAGGACACTTTAGTATTTAAAATCATTTTTTATAAACATTAGTATATATATTAAGATGTATCTATTCATTGAACATATTCGTATAGACTCCTCTTATAACATAAAAGTTTCATTAATATAAAAAAGCAACATTTAACAAAAAATAAAAATGGTATATCTCTATTTCAATAATTTCACTTTTAATCAAAAATAAATAAAAAATAAACTTAAACGAAATCAATCGTGCTTTGTAGCAGTGCGTTTTGTCTTATTTTCCGACAATTTTTTAATAATGTATCATCCGAAGTTTTTTTTAATCTCGTTCAATACTTTACATTAAAAGTGTGATTAAATAAGAAAATTTGAGATTCCCCAATTAAAGAATATAAAAAATTAAAGAGTTTAATTCCAGAAACTATCGTAAAAAGCACTGTTACAAAGTTTTACTGATTGTAAAGAAAATCCAACTTTTTTGTCGGGCACAGGTGCGTGTTGTTGCCAAAACGGCGGTTTCATTTCGTGTTTGTCATTGTCGTTGTATTATTGTATTTAGTTTCTAAGTGATGTAAAGATGTTCTATTAAGGGTACAAACTATGTTTGCTATTGTTGGGTGGGTATTGGCCCAAAATCAGCAATTTTTTTTTGATCAGCACCACCAGGTGAGCTAAGCCAATCAGATGAGTTGTTGCTGTCGTTACTATTACTACCACCCGTCGATAGCTTAAGACTACTAGAAAGTCCAATAGAGATCGATTCGCTAGCGGATGGATTACAGTTTTGGCTGCTGCTATCAAAACGTCATCTCGATGAACCGATAAAAGATGAAAAGTCATCGCCTGACTCTGGTATAGGACTGGGAGCATGTGTTGTGGAAACATTGCGGGCTTGCAAAAAGCTTGTACCCCCAGCCACAGGCGCCCCGTAATGGGCAGGAAAGTCTCTAGCAGTTACTTCGCGTTTTTGTATGCTGATGCCTCCAAAGTTTGAGTGTGTCGCAGTAGATTGATTTTGGGTCGTTGTTATGGAAGCTTTGGATGTGGTGGGATGGTTACCTGCTAATTGGGATTGAGATGGATAATCATTCGTTATTGCAGCTTCGTAAACGGGTAACACAAGACTATCTGTAGCTCCATAGCGATTGGCTTTGGCAAGCGGTTTAGCATAGTTGGTTTGATATTTATTTCTAATATTACCTGTGTTGTCATCTGAATCAGTCACTGTAGTCAACAATTGACTAGTTCCGGCTGCATCTCCATCCAAACGTTTATTTATTAGGTACTCAGACTCACTACTTGATCTCCTTGGTCCTCGTGACAATGGCTGATAACTATTTCGTCCTTGAAAACGCCGGCTTATAGAGCTACTGACAACCCCCAAATGCTCAGTAACATCTTCTTGTATATCAGAAATGTCGATCATAGATAAAAAGGCTCGGCACCAATTATGATTTGGATTATTCCAGTATTGAGGTGAATTAATGTGGAATGGGTGATGAGGGAAACTATAAATATGAGCCACAGCTGCTATGAACATCTCAATACAGATAAGAAAATTCTACAATGGAGAGAAAAAAGAGTTGTGTTACAGTTCCGTTATTATTGAATTTCAAAGTACTTGTAACATTGAGGCTAAATTTGCATCATCCCCCAAATCAGTGGAACCAAAGATATCTTTAATGAAGCCATAGTACACTAAAACGTTGAGCATTACACCTTGGCTAAAAATACAATAACAATTAAAAAAAGAACAAACACGCAGGTCGAAACTATTTATTTAAGACTCACAAAAACGAAAAGAACACAACAGCTTTTATGCACAAAAACTTTGGAATTGGTTTCATGGGTTTCAAATCCTCCTACAAATATATTAAGATTTTTAATTAATTCGATTTAAAGGCTAGTTTAAAAGATAGTTTTACCTTGTTTGCTCTATAAAATAGAACTAGACAATACATTGCAACGAACTGGGAAATGTTGTTAATGACTACTATGTACGGAAAAGCAACGTTTCCAGCAAAGGTACCCTCTCCATACACTCCGCATAGCTCACAAATTCTAGAAAGAGATAGAAATCAGTTAATTGCAAAAAAAATGTTAGAAATAAAAGAAAGTGATACATCCTATTATTCACAAGCAATTGTGGATGAATTCTAAGTCGGGTGAGTTGATATGATGCCGACGCGCTTTATCGCGAGTTTATATAAAAGGTGACCAAAATTAGGAGGCGTTGCCAAAAGTGGATGCATTTTAGTACAAGTACTTATTCTTGGCTTATTATACCGGGGTGCATACAACGGTACCTCCCGATATGCACTATTTTGTCGATTTAAGGCACATTTTCTAAGAAAATTGTTTTATGTTCGGTATTTTACTTTCCGTATAGTCCCCATATGACTGTACCTCAAGGTATTCGGTATTTTGAAGATTTAAGCCACATTCAACGGAAGTTCCCAATAGATATGTTTTTGGATTTTGAACCGAAATTATGGCTATTAATCGGATTCAAAGGTAAGGTGGAACTCAGTTGTTTAAATAGGTCAGTTATTGGTACTAGCAGCGACTTCTGACTGTAATGTAGAGTTATCAGGCTAATAGATAATAATGATATTCTAAAAAAGTATTCCAATTGATAAAATTGAATTCCCATTAATAAATTTTTGCTACAAGGCACTTGGTTTTCACAATTTTCACCATGGGTACGTACCAAAAAATGCCTTCCCAGAGACAAAACATTTGATTTTTAAAAATACTGTTCAAAAATAGCATTTGGGGGGAGGGTCTCGTACGTCAATGCTACGTCGGTGCTACAATGGTACCCCACAACGCTTTGCGAAAATGTATTTATCAAAGTTATTTAAGACATGTTATCCAAAGCTTAAAAGCATAACAACGAACTGGCTGTTAAACACTTGCCACAATCAGGAAAATAGTTGAAAGTCGTGCAATTCGAAGAATACAGGTAGTGATGTATGCACCTGGATTCTTTTTCCATTATGCACTTATTAACATTAAAGTCTCAGAAATATTCAAAATTTTTTTGCAAAAATAAATTGATTTTTACATATTTTCTGGTACTATCCCATTCAGGGGTTTTGTTTTTTACAAAACAGGCTTATTTAAATAATTTTTCATTCATTCCAGTTCATTGTACCACAAGTTGTATTGATAAAGCTAACCGCATTATTTTTTATCATGATTCGCATCAATAACCGACTGAGGACAACGATTCGAAACGCACATCCCGATATGTCAATAATTTTTTTGGAGGTACATAAAAAAGCTCATTGGCATAACATCTATCCAAAATAAAAATCACCTTTGATTGAAAACATGCCTTAAATTTATTACAGAATGCCAAAAAGAATACAAGACTATTCAAAATTAGCTGGCCCCGTCCGCGTTGCAGGCCCGTACTTTTAGTCTTTAATGCATATTTTTTTTTAAACAATAAATCACAGATCTGACTATATATCACAATTTTTATAATAAGTAATGACTCCATGCAATTTCTAAGTAGACATGAATAAATGGCAAAAATTATTAGATATTTTGAATAGCCTGATCTTATTTTTCAGCCATGGGCTTTAATTTTATAAATTTAATTCAAATGAGCTGTAGTTTGGAATTTGTATTTTTAACGTTTTGAATACCATGCTGCGTGGTATTCAGTTTTATCCACCTCATAATTTGGTGAGAATTATTTCAGAATAGTCAATGATAATTGCTCATTACCGTAAGATGGGAATTAATATTATTCTCATTTAAATTGTGAGTTAAATGACGATTAAACAAATGTTCGGTCCTGTGTTACTTTCGAATATTTGTATTTTTCTCATGTTTCTGCCACAATTTCAGTCGGAATGAGTCTCAGTTTGACATTTTGGAGTTTAGTTCATATAGACGTGCATCCCAAATCTACGTTCCTAACCAAAATTCACCTGAGGGTTACAAATTCTATAGAATATAAATTTTCTTTTCTGACCATACATTGGTTAGGAAAGTGGGCTTTTAACTGATGTGGACAATTAACTGTAAGATGGTCCTCTACCCCAGAATAGTCTTATACAATTTTTTAGCTAAATCAATTGATTAATGTGGTCAAGACCAAGATGGGCCCTACTCCGAAAATTGTAAATTGTACGCGAAGAGGTTTTGTACCCCCCTTACAAACAACATTTTGCATCCTTTATATTCGGTATAATACCCTTTCCTAAGTATCAAGTATTACATAATATAATTTACATTACTCTTCCAAAGGATATCCATACTGTGATAAGTTGAAGTTTATAAAATCAGTTTATCAGGGGTGCATGAGTCTTTATGCTTATCAGGCTACACCAATATCGAATCAAGACTATCACGTTAGAGGAAAAATATCTTGAGGTCATGACTCGACTATTGACTAAATTATGTTTCCAGGAAGTTTTAGTAACACGTCACAATCTTTGCATAAAAAGGACAATATACCAACTAAACTTCTTTATGTACATTTCAATGAACTTTAAATGCAATATAGAAACTGGAATAAATTTTCCACTGATGCGTCAAAAAATTACTCCTAGAGAACATATGGGTTTTTTGATAATGATGAGAAATAATTAATATATAAAGTTCCATCAAACTTAGAAGCCATTCATATTACTATTAAGAAAAAGAAAACTTTCCTCCAATCTGGCAGTCTTTCAGTAATAACTTTGCTTACTTATAACACGGTGAAGTCCCTGGTAATTTTGTCGCTCATAATGCACTTGGCGAGCACATTATTTTCGTAAGACTTGATCTGGTCGGACACATACATAATAAACACAAACAAAAATACATTGGCAACATAGACCACTTACAACATTATCACTACACAGATGTCATCCACTTAAGCAAATTTAAATTTGCGTAACGAACATCGGATAAAGAAAAATAAGAATATATTCGCAATTGTATATGGAATACACTATTTTAACTCATAAAAAACACTGACAACAAATGTCTTAAAGACGGTTATATTATCACCGTTAAACAATCCTTCATTTCTTTGTGTTTCAATTTTCTAGATAGATCTTCTAGTCTCCATACAACGGTACCTCCAACATTCTGAAGTTTTAGCCGGGTTCTCAACGGCATTGTTTCTAGTATGGTACCTGAAACCCACAATGATACCAACCCCAGTAGCCCCAGATAACGACACTTTTCCCTTTGTGATATATTCAAGACTTACACTGCATTTTCCAATCGATTTTTTGACATTTACGGTTTAAAATGGAAATATTGAATTCCGATACTTTTTTAAGGTTTTGTTTACTTTATTCGGCCAAACACAATAATTTGTTCTTCCTTTTATAAATTAAATTACATAAATATTTTCGTGTATAGCATGGTTTTAACCGTTCTTTGCACTGTGGTGGAAATTTCCATAATGCCATGCATCATACCTAATATTTTCTAAAATTAATATAAAAGAGTAAGTTCACCTAATGTTTATTCTATCTTGAAGTCTTACTAATATGCTTTGGTTTTAAAAAATAACTCCAAACAGCGAATTAGTTCAACTGAATCTAATGCTATATTTTTAGTTTATAATCCACTACTTGTTAAAGTTTCAATAAATTTATGATTTCGCTTTTAACTTTGTTTTTTTGTTATTTGAGTTTTTCTTAATTAGAAACTTGGGAGCAACTTGAGATTTGGGGCTCGGATTGAACTGACATTTTTATCACATGAAGGTATTTTTAACCTGAATACAACAAAGTAATTTTTTCGTGGGGGAAATGCCCGGTTATTCGACCCGAAAGTTCGGGTACAAAATCCGAGTTTAATCTGGTTTTACAAAATCGAAATGTACAAAATGGATATCATTTGAAAGCTTTATGATCTGGTGATCTTGGCATCGTATAATCGGCATCGTTTTCTTGTTCACAACAATTTCAGCTATTTAACTTCATTTAAAACAAAAAAAGTCCTAAATAATAATCTTAGTCCCAACATACAAAAAGCTAATTTAAAATCCTGTGAAAAAAAGAATTTTCTAATTCTTCAATGCATTTTTAACATGCAAAATTTATCAAGTTTTATATTCATATAAGGTATCAAGTTAAGGACCTATGGAAGCCTATTTAAAATGTTTGTAATAAGAGGACAGAAGAAGATAGTAAATACGTTTAACACTGCAATTAAAAATAAAATTTGTATCAAAAAATGTCAAGAGGAACAAGTACCAATATTTGCAATTTGTGTTTTTAACTTACACCGAAATAAAAGTAGTTATAGGCCTCACAACTGTATACTGCAGTATCCCGTGCTTGCAGTTATGAATGAATTCTCGTCCCATAGCCCAGGGACGCATGCAGCACATGGGAAAAAAATGATGAACTTGGGGTTTGTACTCCATTGTGGCTTCAAGATCCATTCCCAAATTCAAATAATTCAGGAGATATACCATGAAATTATAAATAACGTAAGCCTCGTAGCATTCACGCAATGAATCCACATATATGGAATGCTTTGGGAAAAATAAACCGATCCACTGCAATTATACAAAGGAAATCATTTGTTCATTTTTAGAAAAAAAATTAATTTGCAATACGCGTGTATTACTCACCGCATTCAGAGCGTATATTGGAACCATCCACAATACTCGTATAATATGTTTTTGCAAAATGGGCTTAGTAAAATGAATTACATGTTGGATGATATGCCAAATCGAAACAGGCACCGCAGATAAAACAAATAAGCCACCAATTAGAATAAGTTGATCTTTACGCGAAAATCCATCCTTCAGTGAGTTCAATATGAGCAGCGGTACAACAATTATCGCAAATATACCGTAAGTAACGATAAGAAGTGGTCGTATCCAAATACGCCATTCTTCACAAAATCTCCGGAGTGAGTAGTTTTGACACATTATGTTAGCTTTAGAAATTTCTGCTTTCCAACGAGCTATTGAACCTATTGGCGCTACAGTAAAAAAGGTTTTTAGTTGCGATATATTTCTTGTTTATTGATTAAAATTGTCAGCTTGCTTGTTGGCACAAATAGTCGGTCGTTGGATGTTTTTCGCACAATTTCGTGATGCTTCAATTCGTTAAATAGCAAACACTTTTGTGCGTTTAATACTTATCAATTTCTTCCGTAGCGATATTGGCATTCAAATAACACCAAATACAATGCATTTTCTTTTGTTATTAAAAATCACTTTTTAGATCTTTCGTATTAAACAACGTAAGTTTTATGTTTAACAAATCGGAGTCGACCGCTATGCCTGGAAACAACGGCGTCCCACAAGTATCTTATGGTACTTTTACATTTATGTTTTTGATATTGTAATGACATTTGCTCTGTTTCAGAAACAGCAATAATCTACTAGTTTTGCATTTTTTTATTTCATAAAGGAAAAGGGCTTAACTCTAGTTTATTAAAAACTCTTCAATTTTTTCCAGTGGTAGGTATTTTTACCCTGATCCCGGGAAACTATTTTTTTCTTGGGGGACGGACCTGGGACCCGATATAGACAATATAGATATCGTTGGAAAGCCTATGAAAATACCTATCCAACAAGTGGTCACATGAAGGGGTAAGATAGTTAAGGGGATAGAAGTTATAGTCAAATTATCGATTTTTTGGACCCGGAATTTTTATGAAACCCCCAAAAAGTAAAAAGAGGGTCCATTATGGGGGACAACAAAATTGATGCCAAATTATAGCTGACACTCTTACCTTTCCAAAATGCTACAATTTGTGCTAATACCTTTTTCGGGTCCACAGATATTGGTCTTTCCATCCGCATAACCCGATTCTAACCAGTTCATTAAAATGATGTTTTTAATAAAAAGGGTTTATTGTTGGATAGGTACTTCCATAAGCTTTCAATCAATACCCATATATCGGATAAGTGGATCCGGGTCCAGGCGGGGTCTTGATCCCGGACTTTCGGGTAAAAAATCTGGGGTCCCGGGTCCGTCCCCCAAGAAAAAACTAGTTTCCCGGGATCAGGGTAAAAATAACTACCTCTGGAAAAAATTTCGAAAAAAATCGAAGAGTTTTTACTAAACTAGAGTTGTTCCAGGAAAAGTCCGTTATCGTAGTAAAAAATTTTGTTGCTACTCTAGATTATCGTCTGTTTCTGAACTGCAAGAATGTAGTAGTTTTTGCTACAATAACAGATTTTCCATTTATGATATCGATGAAAATTGCAAGACTAATAAGGTTACAATACATAAAATGCTTTTTTGACTGTCTTAAGTCATCGGCTGGCTTCTTCGGAAAAGAACAAAGGAACATAGGGCCAAAATCGAAGTATTTTTTTTTTTTGGGACGGACCCGGATATTTAATGCAAGAGTGCGGTTCCAAGACCTGAACCTACTAAACAGATATGGACAGTATTCGTATCATTTAAAAGCTAATGAAAATGGGATTTACACACACATGATGGGATTAATTAAAATGGCTCCGGAGTTGTGTCAAACCCATTTTTGGTTCATGATCAATACATTCTCGTCACTTTTTTTTAAATTGTATGCAGTTTTGGATAGTAGTTGGTCGAGGCTTGACATTTTCTCCTCTGGGTATGTCCAACTCCGGCTACGCGAACTAATTTTTTTTCTAAATTTGACACTCCTTTTAAGTATCCGGCTTTCGGTCGGGGCTTGAGATTTTCTGTGTATGCCTAAATAATTACATAATTTCAATATACTGAAAATAATCAGCTTGTCCGGGTTCAAAGACACATATCTCTGGAGATAGATAATAACACATATTGTAGCTTTTTGGAAAAATTATTGTATCAACTTATACATACATGTTGTTTTAAATAACCCCCATCATGTGACCCTTTCTCTCAGTAATGCCATGTTTACGTTATAACTTTTTGTAGGGTTAACCAACTTTAAGAGGATTTATTTGAAGTAAAAGTAATGGATATGACAATTTTAATCCAAATCCAGTGGGTTAACCCATTTATATGTAAACGTACTGTAAAATATCATGGTAGAAGAATACTGTCACTGTCAAACCAACTTTGGAATTGAAAATGTTTAATGAAAAATTATTCAGATTTGTAAGAATGTAAAAAATGAATATCATAACAACATATTCAAATCTGCTAATTTTCGAAGAAACATTTAAAAAATGTTGACATATAAATGATCCCAAGCTTTGATGCGTCTACCTCTGTTCTTTTACCATGGTAAACTTTGATGAGACAATTTTACTAGAAAAGCTATCGTACATACCATGGTAAAAGAATACAAGTGGATGCATCAACGTCTCGGAAGAAATAAGTAGATTTATACATGGTACAATGATATCAAGGTAGGGCTATGATACCATATGGTTTTAATTTTTTTATTTTCTTGGTCTAATATGTCATCTTTATTTGTTTATGTATGTGTTTTCTTTTTAATAACAAAAAATTGTTCAGAAAAAATGCAATTTCGTGTGTTTTCAAAATGTTCATTTCAACGCATGCATCGACAAAATCTAGAGTTTTTGTAGCGAAATAATCCTTTAGAGATATATAGTACATGATTTTGAAAAGAAGTGTTGACCTTTCATTCAGTTATCGCGATTTTCAATTATTTATTCAAAATAAATGCAACAAGTTGTTTGATTTTTTATTGTTTTGATACTAATTCTGACATTACAAGCCAAACAGGTAGACCTCTATACTTGCAATTTTTTCAAAGTTGACCTACCTTCTCTTCATTGTACCATGGATTTATATATGTTTTCTTATACGACGCCATTGTTATTATATGCATATTTCAACGATTTTAACGAATTTTAACAACTTTTCATTTAACATTTTAAATTTCAAAATTGCTTTGACAGTTCATTGTCCCAGCAGCTGGGTTGAAGCGACTACCTGTATTCTTCTACAATCGTATATACATCTTCTGGAAGTTTTGGAACAATGTAATAATTCCAGGTAATAGAAGTATTGCCAACAAATATAAATTGCCCATGAAATTTGAAATAATAAAAACTAAGGAAAATAATATATTGAATGAAACTCGTTCTCAGAGCCAAGGGATATTTGATTTGTATTCTAAGTTGTTGGATTTAAAGCTAGGAAATATGTGCCGAAAGCTGTTAGTTTACATTCATGTTAGATTTTTCAAGTGACATTAGTTTTACCTTTTACCAACAATTGTCTTTATGGTTCTTCCTGGGGTTACAATCAAATTTTTGAAATCTTGTGTTATTTTCGACATCTCAATGTTGGGACGAGCCGAGTATGTTCAGTACATTCTCTTCTCTTTATTTAACTTGAATGCTGTATGTAAATTGTATTCAATGGTGGTGCATCTAGCTGTGGTTGTTGCAAAATTATTGTACAATAACCCGTGCTGTTAACATACATTCTTAAGGTGAGAATACATAAAATGCTTTTTATACCCTCCACCATACATAGTGTGGAGGGTATATTAAGTTCGTTATTCCGTTTGTAACTCAACGAAATATTCATTTTAGACATAACAATGTATATATATTCTTGATCAGCGTAAAATTTTGCCCTGTCCGACCATCCGTCCGTCCGTCTGATAAATTCACGCTAGAGTCAAGCGAATGAAGATAGGAAGCTAAAATTTTGCCCCCATTCAACGGGTGCTATATGATAGCCCCAATGAAATTGTCTGAAAATAAACACAAGGAATGCCTATTGAATAATTTACTCCCTGGAAAAGATTGTCTATATAAGTCTACGATATCGTATAGCCCCTTTAAAACGGTACCCCCGATATTCGATATTTTGATGATTGTAATTTTCAATAAAATTTTCTGAAAATCCACATAAGTATTCCCTTCTGACTACTTCATCCCTGGAAGATTATTGTCTATATAGGTCCACTATATCGTATAGCCACCCGGTATTAGATATTTAGGCGATTTTATTCACCGCAGTTTTTTTCAAATTGCGTACCTAGAATTCGTAATGGGTACTATAGCCTATGATATAATGGTACATCCCAATATTCAATATTTTGATGATTTTAGCGACATCATTCACTGTTGTTTCGTATTTAGAGTTCTTAATGGGAACTACAGTCTGTGACAGAATATTGTCTATGCAGGTCCAGGCCTTCGTACAAGCCCCAATCAGTACCTCCCTATATTCGGTATTTTGATGATTTTAGCTACATTATTCATCGAATTTTTTTCAAGTTTCGTATTTGAATATTGCAATCGCTTGTGACAAAACTTGCCTATGCAAGTCCACGTCTTCGTATAGACCCCAATATAACCGCTATATTGAGTATTTTTAAATTTTAACAGATTTTTTGGCGAATGTTTTTTTTTTGTAAATTTCCAAATTAGTTCCAAATGTTGGAGGGTATTCAAAGATCGGCCCGGCCGAACTTTCTGCTTTTTTACTTGTTTGTAGAGAAACAAAACAAAGACTGAACAAAATGCATTATGAAAAAATAGTTAATGTGAAAAATATGTAGAGGCGCTGCTCACAACAGAGACGTGTTAGCATAAATTCAAATTGATAATAAAAACGTAAATTTTGTATTTGAAAATATGAAAATAATTTTTCTTTACAAAAAAAAAAAAACTATTTTGGCAGGAATTTAAATTTTTTGTGTTTGTTTCTCTTTCGAGAGGAGCTTAGTGATCTAAAATTTGAAGTGAAAAGGAAAGCCAGATAGACACTATCACACACTCACCACTATGCGATGCGTTTCGCCATTGGTTAAGCGGCTCATCAGGCATGTTTAGTGTGAATGATGGCTTACAAGGGCCGATCTGTGGAAAGTAGTATTTATTTCGAACTTATTTTTATTGTGACTGAAATACTTTTTGGAAGAGGCATCTTAAAAAACGAAGTTGCATCCCATCAATAAATTAGATTTTGTGTATGAAGACGTACTTGGGAGTGCAAAGTTTAAAAAGAATAAGTTGATTATTTTGCATTTTGTGAGGCTTATGAGCATACAAAATTTTCACCCGTTGTGGTGGAGGTACCAGAAGCAGTGATCCGTTCTTCATACCAGATTTCGTATTGGTAGAAATATTAGATCCGATCTTTTGTTAGTAAAAAGAAATTTGAAGGTACAGGTAGAAACGGGTCAATATTGTCCCTTTTCACAGCTGACCGAGATCTGGTGAAAATACTTACGCGAAACCCCCTACTTGAACCCAACTTTTTTCTATTGTAGTAATTGCTTAAGTTGTTGCCCTTTTGACCTGCAGTTTTTTCCTGCTGAAGTATTTTCAAAAGAGGCTTCTTGAGCCAACGTTTAGAAATAATGAAGAAAAAAGTGCAATTTAGAATATTCGGGACCCCATGTCACATGAAGTACTGGTTTATCCCCTGAAAAAATGTATGTTGTTTTAATCAGGATAAAAAGGCCGACTAAATAATACCTTTAAACATTCTGAATATTTGCAACAAACATTTAATTTTACAGAAATTATTGAATATTTTAATGATTTATAAATGTAAATGGACAAATCTTGTTTTTGTTATGACAGTTCATATGAACGATTGTATTTGACAAGCTTAGTTACAAAAAATGCAAGATGGAAATTCTTATTTGAAATAACACTACCTTTTTAATTCTACCATGGCATTATCGTTAGTAAATAAAATTAGAAGTTTTTTTGTTATTGTTCCAATACAAAATTTAAATACGCTTTGTGAAAACAATTGCGACGTTGGAGTGTACCGAAATACTAATAGGCCCATTCTTATATCTTCCTTTATAGTTCACTTCTGTTATCCCTTATTTTTGGATAAGTGAGGGATAAAGTTCACATTATCGGGTTCTTATTATGTTATGTGTTCCTCTTAGGCAGCCTGAGATGTCTTGATATCGCCGACCAGCTCTGCCGACTCCCATTGGGGTGAGCCCCATCCCAACATCCGGCTCAGGAACAACAACAATAAACTATGGGAATTCACCAACAAAAGAACAACACTATTATGATGAACATGATACCATCCAAATCCATAACGTCTGTTGACACACAAGCCATTTAGCCGCCCTCCCTACCTTTGATCATCTCTTCCTTTTATTGTCCTGATGACCCCTTATTCCGCACAATCCCACACCACTTACCTCCCTTTTATTCCCTCCTTAACAACTCTTTAACATATCCTCATTTTTTTCTTTCTTTAAACATACATTAAGTCATTTTATAATAAGTAATGTTAAAACTAATATAAAAAACTAACACAAAATTGTATAGATAAAATTATAAAAAAATATATAAATTAAACTATAATTATAAAAATAACTTGTTAAAATAGTATAGAGCCAAGTAATAATTATTTCTTTTTTTTTAAACGAACGGTCTTTTGACCAGATTATAAGATAACTATAGTCTTTAGTTCTTTAGACGAACTCTAAACAATATCAATAAGGATCATAACACAGAATTACTCTAATAAAAAAGCTTTACATTTTCGAGTATACGACCCACCCTAACGTCACCAAAAAAAAGAGCTCTTTTCTACACTGGACTCAAAGGGGAACCGACGAATAGTTTCAAAACTTGCCTACTAGGAACGTAAACGAATAATGTCCAAATAAAAACTCAATAAAACATTTAAGTTGACATACCTAACTCTAACAGTAAATCACACAAATAAATTTAAAATAAATAATAAAGACACATAGAGGAATAAATAAAAAGAACTTAAAAATATGAAAATTGGTTGTCGGTTGAAAAATTTAATAAAATTCGTGATGTGTTTATGTGTTGTATGTGTTTGTAATTGTCAATAGGTCTGATACTCCAGGGTCACCTCTACGACCATTCAAATCCTGATGAAGTCTAACAATACTTCGTCACATCCGCAACTTTTTAACATTAGTCAGAATAAGCATTCGTTGGGTTGGAATTACTTAAATAATTAGAGGTTTATACGTAATCCCGGAACACTGTGACGTTAATAAACAGGTTGGAGACTTCACAGCATAAAATCAAAGTTGGAAGTATATTGGGTATTATTCTGGGTGCTGAGCTTTGATCTGACGAGTTGAGATTTAATTTAATGTGTCAGTTCACCCATAGATGGTACTCTTGTGACACTATATTGTTGGGTACAGTTGACTTACCACGTTAATTACGAATGTTGGTCAGTGGTGTTAATGGTAATATTGCCCACAAGATATCGCTGTCTGTACCCGAATCCGACCTGCCGAATAAAACAAGAATGGTTACGTTGGATATTTTTCTGTCCATTCCCAGCACTTCATTTTCTTACCATATTTGTTTGTCGGAGTATATTTAAGAAACGGTTTAATTAACCTTTGACACTTAAGGCTTGTTCTCTCCTCCCTCACAGTCACCTAATATATCATAATTATTAATGTGTTTGCACATTTAATTTTTTTTAATTTAAATATTTTTACCTAGTTACCAATTACACGTTTATTTTTATTTTTCTTTTCACAAAACAAAAGATTTTTTCACAATTTAAAATGTCAATATATTTCGATTATATGCTTAAAAAAGGCTTATTAGCTCAACACCACTAAATAACTAATCTTTTTTCCCATCAGTACTACCTTTTATAGGTTCGGGAACAAAAATGGCTCCTTTCCATTACAAGCCATTTTCCTAGCCCTCAAGATTTGTCCCTTTTTTTCCTAAAACCAGTCGTCCCCCTCTAGGTTTATCTGCAACAAACCCTTTGCAACATTCTGAAATCCAATTTTCTCCGAACCTTTTTTTAAGTAACTTTCACTCTTAAAAACAACCCCTTTTGTCGATAATACCGTGTCATTCAATTTTTTTCACACTTTGTTTTGCCGACACGGATCTTTCGGTTGTCCGAACACTTCCTAAAATTTGGAGACTTGGATTCACCATATGGCGCCCAAACAAAAGAAACCATAGGGTTTGTAGAAGTTAGGAGGTGTATTCCATCGAGACACTTGGAAATAGACCACTAGAAGTAAAAGAAAATAGACCACAATTACTACTTTGCATTTGGAACGACGAATTCAAAGGTTTTTGTAACCATTCTGGACTGGTGCCTGAACTTGATGTACAAAAACGTTTGGAACCCTTGTTTTACATGGAAAGTATGTGATGAAAAATACAGACCAAGATAGGTTGTGACCCGCTGATCAGAAGGTTAAGCGGTTTCGCACAAATTATCTTGGATAGATAGCAGGGAATAGTATCCGTTTGAAATTTAATAGTGACACAGATTCATTAACAGGGTATCCACTCTGGATTTAACCAGAGGACAGATGTATCCGTTTAGATGATCTGGAAAAGCTGTAACGTCTTCGGTGGGAGGCGCTATAGTGCACGTATTAAATTGTTGTTTTTTTATTGTTAGTGTTTGATTGATCCATCATTTCCATAAAGGCCACAATAGCCTGAAACCGCACACACCACTCCTCTCCAAAAAACCTCCTGTAAAGACAGATAAAAATATTTATAAATAGAATTGTGTTTAAATTGTATTTTTGCGTTGATAAAAAGGTGTAATGACTACAGGGACTAGGTTCAAAGTAAAAGCTAAAAAGAGAGATAGACCACTGTTATTTGATTTAAATAGAACCATAGATAATTCAGAAGGAAAGAAAACAAAGGTAGCCAGTGACTCAACAGAAATGTCTGAAGAAACACCGACAGGTGGTAGTAACGTCCATGATTTTTCAGAAACGATAAATAACCGAATCCCCCTCATGAATTCCCTAGGACCTGTGTTCTTGCAAGATGCCTTGGAGCAAAATAGAAATGTGCAGAATACAGACCAAATAAAGGCCTTAGAGAGTTCGGTTCAGTCTGTCCAATCTGAAATGAACGAAATTAGAAAGTCATTAAGCGAATTATCGATTAATATGCAGAAGATCGTTCAAAATACGGTCCAGCATACACAACCTCTTGCGAATGTGCCAATAGCTCTAAATTCAAACACCAATATAGCTCAAAATGTATCAGCCCGAAACAACGATATTCCTAATCTTTCTCATAGCAATACCGTTCCAAACAGCGACGCCCCAACAACTTCCAATAATAGTTTACCCCCAATAAGTACTTATCCGGGTAGACCACTGCCCATTGAATCAACCAAGGGAATGAATATCGTTCGTATAAACAAACTGGGACTAAATTTTGATGGTAGCTCAAATGGTTTAGGTGTAGAAGATTTTGTTTATAGACTTGAGTATTACCAGAAGCAGTATAAAATTCCGGTAGAGCAGAGTCGTGGTATTGGCTCTTTCAAAAGACCCATCAATTTCATGACTGGGAGGAACTAAATTACAGTCTATTGAGTCAGTATCAATCATCTCGCTCTAATTTTGAGATTCTCACTGACCTAGCCCAAAGAAAGCAACACGCTAATGAATCGGTAGATAGCTTCTTCCACACAATGGGTCAAATCCGAACAAAATTGGTTCAACCAATTTCGGAATTTGATATGATCAAGATAATGAAAAAGAATATAAAAGATAACATCGGGAGAATTGTCTACCCAATACAGGTCACCTCTGTTGAGCAACTCCGAATCGAGTGCAACGAGGCTAAAAAAACTTCTTGAGGCGAGAAAATAAACCAGTCTTTACAACATCTCGTCCAATTAGGCAAGTTAGCGAATTTTACGAGGAAATGGACTTAGTGGCAGAACAATCACATGCAGATGAAGAAATTGAAGTGTCCGCTGTCCAATATGATAGGCGATTAAAACCGCAGCTGGAATTGTAAAAAAACTGGACATGGTGTTCGTGAGTGTGAAGAGACCACGAGATCTCTTTTTTGCTACAAATGTGGCAATCCTGGAACTACAACGACAAAGTGTGGTATTTGTCAGCAGCGAAACTACAAGAAGGGCGTAGAGATGGAAGGAGGCTCGCGTCCGAATTACAACCCCGGAAAGTAATCTATCCAAACATTAAACTTCAGAACAATAATGAATGTCATAACGCAAAAACCTACGCCCAAAGAAGAAATCAAATTCCGCTTGATTAGCGTCGGAAAAATTATGATGAAGTTAGGGATAGAATATTCGGGGAATTTAATTATCCAAAATACTGTAAAAAAATTCCCAAAGTTCGTCAAAAATTTAGATATAAGAGAAGAAATTTTAAAATAATTGTCGAAGCCATAAACCGAAGCAGTAATGGAATTGCAGATTGCAGATGTTGAAACCGAAGGAATCCGATTAAAAGGGTTGCTAGACTCAGGGGCCTCAGTGAGTTTAATGGGAAAAGGCTGTAGGGAAATTATACAGGAACTAGGCAAAGGAGTAGCACCCATATTTTCTATTGTAAAGACTGCTGCGGGGAATCAGCACCGAATAATCGGTAAAGTAAAACTAAAAATCAAATATAACGAGATTGAAAAGGATATTGAATTATATCTATGCCCTGACTTGGAACAAGAGATATAGTTAGGGGTTGATTTTTGGAAATTATTCCACGTTGCCCCTGAGGTAATTAGAGTGGATGAACTGAAGAAAGAACAGATTAAAAATGACATGGTTAACTGGGAGAATTATAAATTAAACCCCCATGAGTTAACACCACAGCAACAGGAAAGACTAGATAAAGTCCTGAAGAATTTTGATACATTCGAGGAAAAAGGATTGGGCAAAACTTCTTTGGACAAACATTCCATTAAGTTGATAGACGGCGCTGAACCTGTAAAGGATCGCCATTACCCAATATCTCCTGCAGTTCAATCCATCGTATATGCTCCGCTCCAAAATATTGATGGCATCTTAAGCAGAATCGACGAGACATACTACATCAGCAGTGTTGATTTAAAGTTTGCATTTTGGCAGATAGAATTGGATGATGAAAGCAAAGCATACACAGCGTTTACAGTCCCTGCTCGCCCGTTATATCAATTTAGGGTGATGCCGTTCGGTCTTTGTAACGCGGCCCAACGCTTATGTAGGTTGATGGACAAAGTTATACCGTCACACCTGAAAAAAAAAACGTTTTTATTTATTTAGACGACCTGCTGGTCATCTCTAGTGATTTTGACGAGCATTTGCGTCTATTATGGGAAGTAGCAGAGTGCTTAAAGAAAGCAAATCTAACGATAGGGCTTAAGAAGTCCCAGTTCTGTTTCCACGAACTGAGGTATTTGGGATTTGTCATTGGTGATGGAAAACTAAAGACGGACCCAGACAAGGTAAAAGCCATTAATAAAATCGCAGAACCACGTAGCGCAAGAGAAGTTAGAAGCTTCTTAGGGACAGCGGGATGGTATAGGCGTTTCATTAAAGGTTTTGCAGCCATCTCCGCTCCACTCACCGATACACAAAAAAAGAATAATAAATTTAAAATCACTGAGGAAGCTAGAAAAGCTTTTGAAGCATTAAAAAAGGCTTTAACATCTGCCCCAGTCCTTCGCCATGCGGATTTTTCAAAACATTTCTACATTCAATGCGATGCTTCGGAATGTGGAATTGGGGCTGTGCTATATCAACTGAATAATAAGGGGGAAGAACACCCCATAGCGTTTTATTCGCAAAAGTTAAATTCCTGTCAACGCAATTATAGCGTGACAGAAAAAGAATGTCTAGCTGCAGTGATGGCTATCAAAAAGTTTCGACCATATGTGGAATTGATGTCATTCACTGTAATAACGGACCACGCTTCTTTAAAATGGCTTATGTCCTTAAAGTATTTAACGGGAAGACTAGCTAGGTGGTCATTACAATTGCAGGCATTTAATGGAAAGAAAGCGATAATGTTGTAGCGGACATGTTGTCGAGGGCTCCAGTTGCCAATATTAGCGAAATCACGAAAAATGACTGCTTAGATTTTGAAACCCTAGAATTCGAGAGTCAAGAATATCTTGATCTCATTAAAACTGTTACCGACAACCAAGAAAAGTTGCCAGATTTAAAAGTAGAAGATGGGTATGTTTTTAAAAAGGTACTACCTAGCTTGGAAGAAAATGAGGAACTCACATGGAGGTTATGGATTCCCTCAAATACAACCTCAGAAATAATAAAAAAGCCCATAATTCTATGACGTCTGCACATGGCGGGATAATAAAGACCCTTGATCATATAAGACGATTCTTCTATTGGCCTCAAATGACCGTTCAAGTGCGTGAATACGTAAGGAACTGTCAGGTTCGTAAGGAAACCAAAGCTAGCAATCAGCATATGATGCCCAGTATAGGAAAGGAGGTAGTAACTGATAGCCCGCTCCAAAAGCTGTATATAGGTTTTTTTTAGGAAAATACCCAAGATCGAAAAAAGGTAATGCATACATTTTCATCGCTGTGGATCACTTCACCAAATTCACCTTTCTCAAAGCAATGAGGGAGGCAACCGTCGGCAACGTGATAAAATTCCTTGTCGATGAAATTTTTTATAAATTTGGTGTTCCCGAAGTGATCCACAGCGATAATGGTGCACAGTTTACCTCCAAAATGTTCAAAGAGCTGATGGAAACTTATCAAATAAACCATATGAAAACAGCCATATATTCGCCACAGTCCAACGGATCGGAACGTGTTTACCAGTCTGTAATTTGTGCCATTCGGACATATCTCCATAAAGATCATAGAGACTGTGATATGTATTTATCCGAAATAGAATGTGCATTGAGAAATTCTATACACACTTCGACTAGTGTTACACCGTTCTTTGCGTTGTTTGGCTTTCATATGTACTCAAATGGACATGATAATAGCTTGACAAGGAAATTGAAATCCTTAACCGACCATGAGCTCATTGATATGGATAGACCAACTCATACGAACTCATAAGAGCCAATATAAAAGAAAATTTACATCGAGCTTACATAAAAAGTTCTGAAAAATATAATAAACGTGGAAGGGTGTGTTAATTTCGACCTGGACAAGAAGTCTACCGGCGAAATACCGTCTTATCCGACTTTTCGAAAAATATTAATTCAAAATTCTGCAAAAAATTTGTTAAAGCTCGAATTGTCAAGCCCGTTGGACAAAATATGTATGAACTCGAGGATATGCAAGGAAAATCCATTGGTATTTAACATGTCAAAGACATAAAGTATTAGTGCAATATAGATTTAAATTCCGTGATAGACAAGTGCAATATTAGAATTAGGTTGACTTAATTACATGTTGTGCTTGTCCCATTCATATATTTACCTCTATAGTGCAATATACATTACGTCTGTGATATACCCATATGTACCTGATTTTCATATAGAAGTGATTATTTTATGATTTATACCCTACCTCGTAATTATGCATCTACGCCCGAACTATACCTCCAATAAGATTCTACACCCTATCATCATTGCACTTCACTATTAATACCCTATTTAGTAATTAGATATCAATATTATGACTTACGTAATCTTCCGAATTATTCGGCTATGAGTGACCAGATTTCTGTTCCAATTTTTTTTATCCAGTCGACTGACCTGTAAAAAAACACCAGTCCTGCCTTCGGACCTTGTCAGCCCTGGAGTTTTGTTGCGGGCCTTGTAAACAAACAAAATTTTTGCGTGGAAGGGCTTTTTCGCCTACATGGTGGCCACCAACCATGAAATACCACTAGCTTCCAGTATGCGATAGAGTTGGGGAAGCCAGCGATAGCTATAATGAACACTCCCGGATGGGCAGGCCACTGTAATGCCTCTCGTGACCTGCCGTGTTCACTAAGTTTTTTTTTTTGTTTTCTTTTATGGGGGAGTAAATAATGGAGACACCTGGGCACTGAAAAGGGGGTAAACATAGTGTCAAGTATGTTTAGCCATGCCCACATGCCGTTTTGCTTGCTTTTTTTTTGGTTCGTTGGGGTGTAATGGTTTGTCGTTACACCCTTTATAAAATATGGGTGGACAACTGGATTGTCATGCCATCAATCCGTTGCCCACACTGATCGAAAGCCCCACATGTGAAAGGAAACAGGAAACAATATTCTCCACCATAAGAAGACCAAATAAACGCTCGGGAATACTTGCCTCTATTGAAAGAATTTAATGTTTCCTGCATCTCAGCATGGGGGCCATACCTGCAACAAAAAGCTGAAAAGAAAGAAAAAAGTATTAATGAAAATTTTAATAATTAAAACTGGAACGATACCGCGTGGTGTTGGCTGTTGGTGTTTTGGGTGTTTTCGACATCTTCGTCATTTTGACATTTGGGTCATATGGTGAATCCAAGTCTCCAAATTTTAGGAAGTGTTCGGACAAAACAAAGTGTGAAAAAATTGAATGACACGGTATTATCGACAAAAGGGGTTGTTTTCAAGAGTGAAAGTTACTCTTAAAAAGGTTCGGAGAAAATTGGATTTCAGAATGTTGCAAAGGGTTTGTTGCAGATAAACCTAGAGGGGGACGACTGGTTTTAGGAAAAAAGGGACAAATCTTGAGGGCTAGGAAAATGGCTTGTAATGGAAAGGAGCCATTTTTGTTCCCGAACCTATAAAAGGTAGTACTGATGGGAAAAAAGATTAGTTATTTAGTGGTGTTGAGCTAATAAGCCTTTTTTAAGCATATAATCGAAATATATTGACATTTTAAATTGTGAAAAAATCTTTTGTTTTGTGAAAAGAAAAATAAAAATAAACGTGTAATTGGTAACTAGGTAAAAATATTTATATTAAAAAAAATTAAATGTGCAAACACATTAACAATTATGATATATTAGGTGACTGTGAGGGAGGAGAGAACAAGCCTTAAGGCTGGAAATACATAAAGAGCATATTTGGCTGGCTTAAGTCATCGGCTGGCTTCTTCGTAGATGAACAAAGGAGGTTTAGGTTGACTTAGTTCGATTTTGGCCCTAGGCTACTTTGTTCATTTCCGAAGAAGCCAGCCGATGACTTAAGCCAGCCAGAAAAGCGCTTTATGTATTTCCACCCTTAGTGTCAAAGGTTAATTAAACCGTTTCTTAAATATACTCCGACAAACAAATATGGTAAGAAAATGAAGTGCTGGGAATATACAGAAAAATATCCAACGTAACCATTCTTGTTTTATTCGGCAGGTCGGAGTCGGGTACAGACAGCGATATCTTGCGGGCAATATTTCCATTAACACCACTGACACATTAAATTAAATCTCCACTCGTCAGATCAAAGCTCAGCACCCAGAATAATACCCAATATACTTCCAACTTTGATTTTATGCTGTGAAGTCTCCAACCTGTTTATTAACGTCACAGTGTTCCGGGATTACGTATAAACCTCTAATTATTTAAGTAATTTCAACCCAACGAATGCTTATTCTGACTAATGTTAAAAAGTTGCGGATGTGACGAAGTATTGTTAGACTTCATCAGGATTTGAGGTGACCCTGGAGTATCAGACCTATTGACAATTACAAACACATACAACACATAAACACATCACGAATTTTATTAAATTTTTTCAACCGACAACCGATTTTCATATTTGTAAGTTTTTTTTTTTAATTTATTCCTCTATGTGTCTTTATTATTTATTTTAAATTTATTTATGTGATTTACTGTTAGAGTTATGCCATGTTTACGTTAGAACTTTTTGTAGGGTTAACCTACTTTGAGAGGATTTATTTGAAGTAAAAGTAATGGATATGACAATTTAAATCCAAATCCAGTGGGTTAACCCTCATATATATAAACGTACTGTTAGGTATGTCAACTTAAATGTTTTATTGAGTTTTTATTTGGACATTATTCGTTTACGTTCCTAGTAGGCAAGTTTTGAAACTATTCGTCGGTTCCCCTTTGAGTCCAGTGTAGAAAAGAGCTCTTTTTTGGTGACGTTAGGCTGGGTCGCATACTCGAAAGTGTAAATCTTGTTTATTAGAGTAATTCTGTGTTATGATCCTTATTGGATATTGTTTAGAGTTCGTCCAAAGGACTAAAGAAAACATTATAGTTATCTTCTAATCTGGCCAAAAGACCGTTCGCTTAAAAAAAGTTAAAAAAAAGGGAAATAATTATTACTTGGCTCTTTTAACGAGTTATTTTTATTATTATAGTTTAATTTATATATATTTTTTTATAATTTTATCTAAACAATTTTGTGTTAGTGTTTGTTTTCTCTTTCGAGACGAGCTTAATGATCTGAAATTTGCAGTGAAAAGGAAAGCCAGATAGACACTATCACACACTCACCACTATGCGACGCGTTTCGCCGTTGGTTAAGCGGCTCATCAGGTATATTTGGTGTGGACGATGGCTTACAAGGGCCGTTCTCTGGAAAGTAGTATATATTTCGAACTTATTGCAAATTAGCATATGCGAATTATACACTAGAAACTCTTCAGGTTCGACTCAAGTTCTATTGGCAGATCTTTTTCACAGCAAAGTTTTTGTTTTTGTAGTGATGAATTTTTTGTCCACAACAACTACATTGCTTCCAATGCATACACTTGTTTTAGTGCAAAAACAAAAACTTTGCTGTGAAAAATATTTGCCAATAGAACCTGAGTCGAACCTGTAGAGTTTCTAGTGTATAATTCGCATATGCTAATTTGCAATAAGTTCGAAATATATACTACTTTCCAGAGAACGGCCGTTGTAAGCCATCATCCACAACAAATATGCCTGATGAGCCGCTTAAGCAACGGCGAAACGCGTCGCATAGTGGTGAGTGTGTGATAGTGTCTATCTGGCTTTCCTTTTCACTGCAAATTTCAGATCATTAAGCTCGTCTCGAAAGAGAAAACAAACACATAAATCATAAAACATATGATCTTCGCCTTAACAAGGCAAAACTCAAAAAATTTTGTGTTAGTTTTTTTATATTAGTTTTAACATTACTTATAATAAAATGACTTAATGTATGTTTAAAGAAAGAAAAAAATGAGGATGTGTTAAAGAGTTGTTAAGGAGGGAATAAAAGGGAGTTAAGTGGTGTGGGATTGTGCGGAAAAACAATAAAAGGAAGATATGATCGAATGTATGGAGGGCGGCTAAATGGCTTGTGTGTCAACAGACGTTATGGATTTGGATGGTATCATGTTCATCATGATAGTGTTGTTCTTTTGTTGGTGAATTCCCATCACTACAAAAACAAAAACTTTGCTGTGAAAAAGATCTGCCAATAGAACTTGAGTCGAACCTGGAGAGTTTCTAGTGTATAATTCGCATATGCTAATTTGCAATAAGTTCGAAATATATACTACTTTCCAAAGAACGGCCCTTGTAAGCCATCATCCACACCAAATATGCCTGATGAGCCGCTTAAGCAACGGCGAAACGCGTCGCATAGTGGTGAGTGTATGATAGTGTCTATCTGGCTTTCCTTTTCACTCGTCTCGAAAGAGAAAACAAACACATAAATCATAAAACATATGATCTTCGCCTTAACAAGGCAAAACTCAAAAAATTTTGTGTTAGTTTTTTTATATTAGTTTTAACATTACTTATAATAAAATGACTTAATGTATGTTTAAAGAAAGAAAAAAATGAGGATGTGTTAAAGAGTTGTTAAGGAGGGAATAAAAGGGAGTTAAGTGGTGTGGGATTGTGCGGAAAAACAATAAAAGGAAGATATGATCAAATGTATGGAGGGCGGCTAAATGGCTTGTGTGTCAACAGACGTTATGGATTTGGATGGTATCATGTTCATCATGATAGTGTTGTTCTTTTGTTGGTGAATTCCCATCACTACAAAAACAAAAACTTTGCTGTGAAAAAGATCTGCCAATAGAACTTGAGTCGAACCTGGAGAGTTTCTAGTGTATAATTCGCATATGCTAATTTGCAATAAGTTCGAAATATATACTACTTTCCAGAGAACGGCCCTTGTAAGCCATCATCCACACCAAATATGCCTGATGAGCCGCTTAAGCAGCGGCGAAACGCGTCGCATATTGGTGAGTGTGTGATAGTGTCTATCTGGCTTTCCTTTTCACTGCAAATTTCAGATCATTAAGCTCGTCTCGAAAGAGAAAACAAACACATAAATCATAAAACATATGATCTTCGTCTTAACAAGGCAAAACTCAAAAAATTTTGTGTTAGTTTTTTTATATTAGTTTTAACATTACTTATAATAAAATGACTTAATGTATGTTTAAAGAAAGAAAAAAATGAGGATGTATTAAAGAGTTGTTAAGGAGGGAATAAAAGGGAGTTAAGTGGTGTGGGATTGTGCGGAAAAACAATAAAAGGAAGATATGATCAGATGTATGGAGGGCGGCTAAATGGCTTATGTGTCAACAGACGTTATGGATTTGGATGGTATCATGTTCATCATGATAGTGTTGTTCTTTTGTTGGTGAATTCCCATAATTTATTGTTGTTGTTCCTGAGCCGGATGTTGGGATGGGGACTCACCCCAATGGGAGTCGGCAGAGCTGGTCGGCGATATCAAGACATCTCAGGCTGCCTAAGAGGGACACATAACAATTATTACATCTTTCTTTTAAAATATATGCATTTTTTACAGAAATATGCTAAGCTTTTGTAAAAGTAACTGGTAGTCACTGCATTTTTTCACAATCGCGTTTTCATTTTAGTTTAAAAATAATAAACAAAACGAATTGCGATTATCCACTTTTTATTTAAATAAATTTTGTTGGTATAGCCATATTATCAATATAAAGTTAAAGGGAATATGGTCCGGCATTTGCTTATCGTACAGTTCATACTTAAATAAAACTTGTAATAACCAAAAACGATTTATGTGTCCGGCGACACCACTTTTTATCTATCGGAACGATGTAATAACAGGCCATAGAGATGCTTTATGCTAGAAACACAATTGGAGCGAACGACGAATTTTTCGCGGCGTATGTTCGTCGTCAAAAAAAAACATATGTGTATATGAAAGTGCACACAATTACGGCGCCGGCGAAAATTTCGTCGGTCGCCGAGAACTCAATTAGCTTTATTTCTATTTCATACGGCGGCGAACGGCGAACAAAACAGTAAAAGGTGGCCATACTTGTACGAATTTTATGTGTTTTAGTAATTAAAAGTTACTTTTTACTTTAAAATTTTTTATGGTCACTCTACTTTCTGTTATTCGTATAAAAAAACATAAATAATTTGTTTATTTATTTGTGTACTTGCGCCTGAGTGAAGAAGTGCACAAGCAGATAAGCTTTTACTATAATACACATTATGTTAATTTTAATAAACATTACAATTCTCTGATTTATTGTAGTCAGCTGTTTTATAATTTCGTCGGTATTGTGTTCTATACGACGAATTTTCGCGGCTCATTTTGTCGTCGCGTTGGGCGAAATTCGTCGTTCGCTCCAATTGTGTTCCTAGCATTAGGTTAGTTCCATGGTAGAAGAATATAGGTAGACGCGTCGACACAGCTGCTGGGACAATGAACTGTCAAACCAATTTTGGAATTGAAAATGTTAAATGAAAAATTATTTAAATTTGCAAAAATTTTTGAAAAAACGCGAATTATAATAACCTCCTTTTGACTTAGAATAAGAAAACATATAAAAATCTACTTATATTTAAAAAAAACATTACAATTTTTTGACATATCAATGCTCCCAAGCGTTGATGCATCTACCTGTATTCTTCTGCCATGGTTAGTTCGTAGATTCCACGCCGGGTGGTGAGAAGATCTATTTTTATATGGTAAATCTAGTTGAATGAATTCGGATTAAGCCATAAATATATCCTAATAATTTGGGTCAATCAGGATAAACGAGAACGCGTCATTACCAATAAAATGTGCATTAATCAGCATACAATTTTGTATCTAAATGCACTATGATATTGTTAACATCAAAGAAAAAGAGAAGTTGTGCCCCAGACCTAAAAGGATTATACTATTTTATACTACTAATAATATCTCCAAAAATTACTTTAAAAAATACCGCTGTCTTCTACAATTTTTATGTTCTTTTTGCGAACTTTTTACACGAATCTGAACGAGGAAAAGTAGAAAATCTGCCAAACAATTTATTTGGCATTACATTGATATAGGCCCGTTTTTATATCTTTCCTTTATAGCCCATTTTTGTTAACCTCTACTTAAGGAAAAGTAAAGGATAAACGCATTTGGAGATATATGACAAGCTTTTAGTGCAAGTAATTGGTAGTCACAGAATTTTTTCGCAATGGAATCTTCATTTTTGTTTAAAAAAAAAATAGGCAAAAAAATGTTTTAATTTAAACGGTTTTATGTTTAACATACATTGCAATGTATAAGATAAAAAAAAAATAATAAAAATACTAAAATATATACAGTCGTGGGAATTATAAACATATGCCTAGACTAGTCTAAAATAAAACCGTGGGGCACTTCAATTGTATATAATGGTTGATTAAAATGTTTGTTTTGATGGACGTTGATGGGCGTGTGATTAGTATGGCTAGAATGTTTAAACAAGCTAGCAAGCTTAATTTTAAGCGATTTTTAGGGTTTCATAGTGGTTAGCCAGTAGTACTTTTATCTTATGTTTTGTCGATTAAAGAAAAACTACGAGCATTGAAACGATTCTTCGCCAGCCAGCAATGTGAAAGTCAAATGATACACTAGTTGAAACATCTCTTTTATTTACGTGGAGTGCATAATTATTGGAATTTGCATGAGCAAGAAAATAGTAAGCAATTTCTTCACCGTCTGTGGGCCAACTGCCTAACGACGAATTAAACGTTCTTCTATCACACATTAAGTCGATAAGTTGTAGACAATTGACGTACCCCACGGTTATATTTTAGTCCAGTCTATGCATATCAGAGGGCAGCAACGAGTATGCAAAAATTCAACCACACTAATTTTCTTATATGACTTTTGTTGATGCAGTCGTAACCGAAAATGTTGCAAATGGAAACAACACGTTGTCTACAAAACGAAAAGGTTTTATGTGGAACATCATAACTCGTATTTTAAAATCAGGTGGCATAGTTTTACCTGCCTTTGTTTTCTGCCGCACTTGTAATAAAACATTCAGGTAAAGCAATTGCCAAACATAAAATTTAGCACGACATGGGTGCTGCAAAAAGTTGAAGGAATCATAACCCTTATAAATGATATTGTGAACGCTTTACCGCTGTTCGGCTACCATATGTGGATGGACGACTTTTTGGGTTTGACATTTCACTACCAAAAAGACTACAAATTCTTGGATTTAGTGTTAGGAATGAAATCAATGGATTTCAAGCGGTGCACGCATTAAAATATTTTGATAAAACTAAAATTCGTTTTTAGTGAGTTTGGTGTTAAAAATATCGATAAAGTGAAGTTTGTTACAGACAGAGGAACAAGGCATTAGAGCAAAATTTACGCCTGAATCGTTCGCCGCTACCACAGAACTTACATATGTTTTGGAAACATGTAAAAAATGGTAAAATATTTCAAAAAGGCAAATTTGCAATACCTTCTATAAACATCTTTGAAAAGTCAGTGCCATAATGTTGAAATCGATAATGGACAATTGGGGCAAAATAAACAATGTTCTAACGAGCAGCAGCGGAGTGATCCTCTTCTGTGGCAGGCAATATAATTACAGAGAAAATAAATAGTATTGGGCCGAGAGCTGTTGAAGGTTTAAATTTTTAAATTCTTTGAAATTTTTAACTAAATACTGAAGACTGACATTTGTTCCTTTTGTCGAAATAAGCCACTGAAATAAATTTCTTGTTATTTTTTTTAGAGATAACTTGTTCCTTTTTTACAGCAACTGAAGTTTAGTATACTATAAGCCCAAATGAAAAAAAAATCGTTGTTTATTAAATACTATTTTTTTTTAATTTCTTTAATGGACACTGCCTCTAGTATTGATATGCCTACCAAAACTATAACACATGATTACGCTCAAATTCGATCTTTCGTATTTAATCGAATCAAATCACCCTTCCAAAAAAAATCAAACCGATCATACACATCCGAGATGATCGTTTCGGTATGTCTAGTTCAACATCAGTTCGTAAACAAAGCAATCATATGCGCTGTGCGCACACAAAACATCAATCAATACATGTTTGATCAGAACTTTTTCGTTTGACTTGAGCAACTCGAATAAACATGTTACATCTGACAGACTGATTGAGTTTGATTGTAATTCCACTGTGTGTGATCAAGCCTACTCAATCATTCTCATTGTAGCACTCTGTAAATATGTTTATAATTCCCACGACTTTATCTATTTTATTATTTTTTGGTTTTTAGCACTTAAAAGTTTTTACCTATTTTTATTTTCTAGTTTTTAGTTTCTATTTCGCATTCTGTTTTTATCATTTAGTGCTTCATTATTGCAAGGTTTCTTGCCCGTTAGTTTATTGCAGTCCAACTCCTCTATACGTAGTCCCGCAAAGATCTTATTCTACGTCGTAGGCTTAACCTTCTTCAAGCAGTTTCGCACCTAATTATACGACTGCGTGATCTGCAGTGCTGCCCTGCATTTTATATATTGTAGAAGCCCATAATAACATTAAAGGCAACATTTTTTAGCCGTCCCGTAATTGTACTTAGCTGGAAACTGTATGGCTTTCGGGTATATACGATGTACTCCGTCTCTTGCGAAAACAATTCGGATGGAAGGTACATCTGTCGCATACATCTGACTTCGACGAAATTGAGGCCAAACGATTTCGTTGATGTAGTTCCGCTGGTAGACCCCCAGTTGTGTTTATCTCTGCTGGTATTATAGTAGCTATAACCACATTTTCTGAATTTCGTGTGGCGTGAACTAGCTCATCCTGCGGATTGATAAAACCTAAATTATCCGCAATCTTGGATTTTAATTTTATATAGTATATTGTATTCAGCTTGTTGAGCCCTTTCGTTAGAGACCTATATTAATGAGATTGATAAAAAAAATACGTTATCCGCAATTTTGTAGCGGCCGCCATCTTGGATTTATAATGATAATGAACAAACATAATTGTATTGTCACCAAAATTGAAAGTGGATACAAAATTTCAAATTATTCGGTTGACAGGAAGAGGGTGAAATTTGAATTACTAAATTTGACTCAAGAATAAGACAAGCAAACGGGCTGAGCTAAATAAAACCGTTTAATAATAAACAAGGCGCATTTGTAATTAAATCTGTGAAGTAAATCTATAAGTCAGTTCTTCAAAATAAAATAAACATTTGCGTTATCCATTTTTTATTCAAAAAATGTTGCTGTTATTGTCACATTATCAATATAAAATATGGCAACATGAATTTAGTAAACTTTTCGTTAAAAGATAAAGGGAAGATGGTCCGACCTTTTGCTTATCGGACAGTTCATACTTAAATGAAACTTAAAAACTCGACAACATAATTTTTTTTCTATCTATCGGACAGAAGTAATAATGTCGTTAAGTATGAGGATCTAGTGCGAATGCTGGGGTCACATTTTACTCAAAAGGCAAATATTGTAATGGAACGGCACAGATTCTTTACTTGGAAGCAGCAGGATGGTCAGAACATTGATGAATATGCAACAATACTTAAGAGTTTAAGTTCGAATTGCGAATTTGGAAATATGAGATATGATTTGGTTCGTGACATCTTTATTTGTGGATATAGCTAACAATATGATGTTGGCTAAGGCAAATGTAGGAATGTTGCAAGATAATTGAAGGTATTGTTAATGCTGATCAATGATCAACAATTCATGAGGAGCTCATAATTACAAATCAAATAATGTCAAAAATGAAAGTGGAAATTGTCAAAAAAATGCGGTCAGAATCACAAATTGACCCATTTCGCTAGAATGTGTATAAACCCGAAAAAATTTGTCAAACAGATGCAGACAGATGAAGGAGTTGTGAATGAAGGTGATGATGGAGATATCGATTTAAATCATCTACTGAAAGGAACGTTGGAGTAATGGTAAACCAAAGAATGATTCAGTGTCAGATAGAAACGGGTGCGCAGGCGAATATAATGTCGGCAGGCACGGCTGAAATACTCAAAATCCAGGATAAGTTGAAGAAAAGTTCAACAAGAATCTTTACATTTAGTGGAGAGAAAGTACAAATTATTGGAGATGTTGATCTTAAGATTTATTATAAACAGCAGATATTATGTTTTATATTATGTAATATAATGTATTATTGGCTTAGAA